TGGAGCACCTTGTGTAATCGTTGAACAGATGGGTGTCCGAAGCGACGGTGAACCCGTCGCAATTCAGCGTCTGTGAGGTGGTTCCAGGCGAGTGGTTTCTCCTTATCGAGTAATAACCATGGGTGGCCCCATTTGCGAATAATAGGTACGACCTTATTTCCTTGGATGAGGGTATTCGTAACGTTGTTAAAGTAGACCTTCAATCGGTCCATATCTCCTAGGCACATAAGGAAGGGAGTGTTAGTCTCAATAACGTGAAATTTGACGCTTCCAAACGGCGTTGGCACTTTGGTAGTCCCTATAGACTCCAGTGGTATCCCATCGCCGAATTTCACTGTAACGCCGCCAGCCGCCTCAGTGTTTAACGTAATTCCTTCGTAAATTTGTTGTAGGGCCACGAATTGTGGGTGGCCAGCGGTTGAGAATCCTGCTGCGCCCGAGTCGGGCATGATCCCTTGGAAGTTCTGGGCAGAGTAGCGTCCCTCGAGTGTGAATTGCGAAGGTAGCTCTTTCGGTTCTGGTTGGTTGCGGAAGAGGTCTTCTTTCGTAATAGCATGGCGGGTTGACTGGTCTGCTAGGATCGTGGCGATCCTGTTGCCGTCAATTGCTGTTGTAGTGAAATAGGCGGTGACCTGGAATTGACTGTCGCTGCCGGTCTCTTCCTCTTCGTCACTTTCACTGGTTTGTTCGGTTACGTGGTAGTATTGCTGGGGGTCTTCGGCGGTAGGTTGTAGGTCTAACCCGTCGAAACCCTCGTATTGGACGAGAAATTGGCCATATGCTGGAAGTGACGTATCCTGGGCATATTGGGTGGTTTTGAACTTCTCGTACGCTTTTCGTCTCTCTTCTGTGGTGTGTTTGGTTGACCAGCAGTTAGGTTTTCCACACACGTAGCACTTCTTAGGCGTTGGCGGTAATAGGGGTCTGTCACGGCTTCTTCCTCGTGATGATCGACTTCGTGATGAACGACTGTATCGTGAATAACGCCCTCGACCGTTGAAAGTTCTGTCGGTCCAGTACTGCTCTGGTGGGTTGGCTACTGTGTTGAATTGTTGTTGGTTGAGACGGGTAGCTGTCTCGATCGACGAGATTAATTGGCTGCGAAGTCCCTCGTACGTCTCAGCCGGTACAAATAACGCCATTGCACACTCTGGAATATCTCTACAAGCGTGTAGAAGTTGGGTATGGAGGGATCGGTCGTTGTGATCCTGTTGTGGCAAACCGGGCTGAATCTTGCTTAATTTGTCACATAGTATGTCAAAACACTCCGATTTGGTCTTTCCAGGGTTATCGCGAATGATTTGGGGAAGAGTAGTTGTATTCCACTGCGTAACGTACGCTTGTTGCCTTTCCCTAGTCTCGAAGTGTGATTTCAATTGGTTGATCATGGTCTCGAAGTTGGGCTGTGGGTTGATCACTTTAATCGAGGCGTAGAAGTAGGTTTTGGCTATTCCTTTCAGTATTAGGGGAAGTGCCCTGTTGTATTGGGAGGTGTGAATTCCCAGCATTCTACAGTGATCCACGAATACTGGCATCTTCTTTTCGAGTACATCGTACATATCGCCGCTGTATTTCATATCGTCGGGGTACAGTTTCGCGAATTCTGTTAATTGCTTTCCGATACGGTCTGTTGACTCGTATGGTTGGAAGTCTGTTAACGGAGAGACCGTGGGATGTGGCGGTCGGTACGGTAGTTGCCACTGTTGTTGTTCTTGTGGAGGAGGTGGCTGTAGGGTTGGTTCGACTCTTCCTCCTGTGCTGTTGGCTACTGTTGCCGGTCTCGTGATCTCTTCGTGGAATTCGGGGTCTTTTATCAGAGCCTTCAGGTTGCGATATCTCTTGACGCCTTGTTCGAGTTCTTGGGGTGACCAGTAGTGGAATTCTTCCTTTTTGAGGGCTAATGCCACGTTTTTCGAGATTTTCTTGCCATCCATTTCGACGTAGACGCCGTTACCGATTAAATAGTCTCTGAAGAATCGTAGGATTGGGGGAGGTACGTTCTGGAAGTCTTCTTCTGACCAGTCGGCGAAATCGGGAGAAACTTCGTTCCATAGCTCGAGGCCCGTGAGATTCCTCTTCTCATAGGTCTCAAGTAGGAAACCCATATAGGAACCCAGTTGCTGTGGGCTAGCGTTTGTAAGGTCGATTGCCCAGTTGCCCCATACTGCTGGATCGATCATACTTTCGATTCTCTGTGGGATGGGGACTGTTGATTGGCTTTTGGCAGTGACGCCGCTCGCGGGCGATCCTTCTCGTGAATTTCGCTCCATTCTGACAGTATAAAAGGATTACTTCTGTTCAGAATCTTGAATTCTAATCCTCAACAGCGTCAGCTGCGATTGGTGCAAGATGCAGGCCTGGAAGTGGGAGTCAAAAGACGATTCGGGATATTACGATTCTAAGGGGAAAGAATCGTGAAATCGGGGATTTTCGTCGGTTCGTCGTTTGTTTCCGTCGGCGCCGTTCTCGCTGATGTTCTCGAGGGGTGTGAGGGTATACACAGGTCTCGAATTGGTAGGGAGAGAGTTCTACCGTAGATTCTCTCGTGAATCTCTCTTTCTCGCTTCGGGCTTCGCTCCTCACTGTTGGGAAGTTTAGAATCTAGCGGACAGTTGGCCTTATGACGCCCACAACCACGTGCGTTTCTCCTAAGCCGCAGCCTCGGAGGCGTATACGTATAGCTGTATAGGCGGATTACCGCCGGTAGTCTCCGCTCGCCTTTCGGCGTGTTCTTCTTCTGGTAGGGAGGTCTCTTGTGGCAGGCGCCTCGCGGTTGGCACCTCGTCTGGGGATTTATTGAGAAACTAGCGGGCGCCTCGTGATTGGCACCGCGCGTGGGGGATAGTTGTAGTTGGGGAAGTTGTTGTCCCTTGTGGGATTCGTGAATCTTCGCCCTTGTGGCGTGAAGAGGTTGGAAGACCGTCGATTCGGTAGGTCTCTTCTTCTGGTGATTGAAAACGCGTGATGGAACGCTCTTGCCAGCGATAATTGGCTGCGATTAACCTTATCCCGCCCAGGGTGAGCGTAGCAGTCCCTAGGTTACTCGAATAATCGGATTGCTGGTAGATTCGAGGAAAAGAAGCTTTCTTCTGCTGGTTTCCGTAGATCCCAGTTACTCTCGCTTCTTCTCTCGTTAGCACGAAATCCCTACTTTTACCTGGGCTTGGGTATCCAGTTCAAGAAGTCGTCTCTTCTGGTGTTGACCTTGCTGATCTGCGGTTTGTCCGTAGCAGAGTGGTAATTGTGAAGTTAACCAAATTAATGGCAACTGTGAGGTTTACCACTGGTCAGTGTAGGTTTCACAGGGGGTGAAACAGGGGGTGAAACGGAATTCCGTTCGTCAATAACAAATAACAGTAAATTGGTTCTAATCGATGGTTCATGATTGTTGAAAGTGGTGTTGTTGACTAGAAGGTGGGGATATTCCCCCTTGGCCTGTCACGTGGGTCTGGGAGGCTTGGGCCTCTCAGCCTGGCGGGCGTGTGGCTGGAAGTGCCACACGACTCCGTATTCCAACTATCGCAACAGGTTCCGTGGTCCCTCAGCCACCAGGCCTCACGTAGGTACATGGCCTCACTAATCAAAGCATCGGGTTACCGGATGGGGTTCATCTCTTTAGTCCACTATAGTCTACTTTACTGCGGTGTGCTATTACATACCGACTTTACCATGGTCAGGAAATCCCTCTTTCTGCGCCCATTCCATACGAGTATCCCGTGATCTCAGCAACAACTTTAATGACAATGAAAATTCCGAAATGCGAAAATTTTATCAGAAAGCCTTTGGGAAAACCATGGTTAGTAATGCTATCACTTCTCAAAGTACGATGCTCGTATTACACCTTAGGGGCAGTAGGTAGGATGCAAGCGGAGACAGCGGAACGCATCGAAAGGTACGGCAGAAATGGGATCAAAATAACATCGGATTCGGTCATGAGATATCGCTTTATTTATGGCTTTAATCTTCAATTTCTACAAATGGAGATTCACAAGACCAAATCCTTTTTTGAAGTGTCTATTGTATAGTCAATGCTCCTCCTCGTCCTGGTCACTCGTGGATAACCTCAAGCATTACTCTACCGGATTAAAGCGACTGCCTCAAGGAAACCAAATGGGCGAGTCAATTGCATTTGAACGAGAGAGCTGAACTGCCAATCGGTCGCTTTGACCGCACAAGCTCAGGGATAACCCACGGTCGGACCTGGAAGCTACATGAACGATGACACTGGTACAGCGAGGTTGGGACGTTCCCATCCAATAAATAACCTTCCAATTTCAGGGAGTCCTCGGAGTTGACCATACAGGCTCTACTGACAGTACACAGAGCCGGTAAGGTCTGACACGCTCGGTTTGAACCGAACTTGTTCGCTGTTAGGAGTTACTCTTCGGTTACCCATTTAGTGTGAATCTGAATAGTGTTTTGCCTGTATAACAGTGGCAAACGCAGTTACTTTCCGTCTGACTGGTCGAGAACGCATTTAAACACGCAACGCCAGCCACAAAAGCCTTCAAGCTGTCAGCCCATCTGTTGTGCGGCAAATATTGTGAAACTACCGCGGCCGGCATCCTTATGCGAGATACCAAAGTGACAGCCGATCAGCCCCTACTATTGTGGCACGTCGAGGGCTGCTTCTCTACCTTATCACGAACCCGGATACGGGTGCGTCGTGTTCCTCCAGACCTCCTCCCTCGCCGCATCGATTCGTTCCGTCCTTACAACGTCAGCAGCATTTCGGCTGGAACTCTATTAAGCAACTTCGAGGGAGCGTCATGTGGAACGCTTTTCGAGGAGCATTTGACCCAGTGGCACCCAAGCTCATTTAATTTAACCTCCTTCTGCACACCAGTATTACGAGCGCAGCAACTAATAGTGTGCAGCTTCTTAGCTTGCAGCTGTTATACTACGCTACACGTATACTTGAATACAAAACAACAGTCGCCAGAGAAGTCTCAGCATACACAAAAACGATTCGAGTCGCGTTATCTTCTCCACGATACATAATGATCGTACAAAAAACATGGCCTCAGTATATCGCTATCCGCATCCTTATCGTGTTGATGAGGGATCTTGGGTTACTATGTCTCACCTATTTCTACGCTATTTTTGCACTTGGAGGCGTTCCGGCAATAGTCCACCCATTTTCAATTGTCATTGAAGTCGTCGGAGCTATTGAAATACTATTCTACCTTCTTTTCTTTTTGCCTTATAGGTGGTACCTTCAGACCTTCAAACCGTATAGGCCCCCACCCATGAGTCGCTCACAACGAGCTCAGCTTTTCTATAAAGCGTTGAATCTGATACCAGATGGTGAAGAATTTGTACGAAAATGGATGTTGAACGCCCACCTCGAGGATGTACGCCGAGAAAACCTCAAGGACTGGCTTCTTTGGGGCCTTTTCGAGCGAGATGGAGTTGCAGAGCGGCCGACTCAAGACATCGATAATGAGCTTGAGGGTTACATCGAAGCTGCTGAAGAGAGGTTCGGAATGAAGTTGAAGCCGGGAAGAGGGGGAGCTGAGGCTCTGAGACTGACGTTTGACCCGGTGATTATCAGACACCGCAGCTTGCTATATTACATGGTAAGCGAGCAGCGAATTCCATTTGCATTTCTGTTAAAGATGAACGCGGAGACATTCGCGAATCAAGAAGTCATTTGTCCACCTGTAAAGCTTGCTGACAAGAGGGGGCCTTCAGGTGATTGGCGTGCTCGATAATCTCATGGCGGTATACCTCTTTACGCAAGGATACCGCTATTTCAGACAACCGTTTTCCGCATTCTTCAAAGTCTTTCCCCTCCGTTTCGTCAACCTCCTTCCGTTTAAGCCTTCAGCTGCCGATGGGATGTCATACTGGTATCGCCCTCACAAGTCAAAGACGCAACGTCCCATCGTTTTCATTCATGGTCTAGGTATTGGACTGATCCCCTACATGTTCTGGCTACGTACTATCCCGAAAGATGTCGGCATCCTAGCGGTTGAAATGTTACCAATAGCTACTCGTGTGACAACATATCCGCTGCAGCCCGCTCCTTTGCTGGCCGAGATGATCGCCAAATGCGTCGCACAGCAACGAGCGGCACAACCAGCCCCAGGGGCTGGTGAAAGAGGAGACTGGGACGACTTCGTACTCATTGGCAACAGCTACGGAACATTGCTGATGCCACAATTGCTGCAACGTGCAGATTTCGCACCACGAGTCGCAGCCTGTGTCTTGATTGACCCTGTTTCTATGTTATTGCATCTCCCTGATGTGGCCTACAACTTTACGCGAAGAGAACCAACGCCATCGATACGCGGGCGAACTGGACATGGTAACGAATGGGAAATATGGTGGGCAAGCGCCACGGATGCCGGTACATCCTACACGCTCGCTCGGAGATTCTGCTGGCGAGAATCTTTAATGTGGCGAGAGATGCTCACTCCGAGCTTGCGCAGCGTGGAGTCTGGGTACTACGCCTCTGGATCATCAAACGAGATTGTGATATTTGGGAACGGAATTCAGCCGGGGATGCGTAGCACCGTAATCCTTGGAGGTGAAGATTGCGTCACTGCGCCTAAAGCGGTGGCTAGCTATGTCTACTCTGGCGACGTCAATTGGACATACGACGACATAGAAGCATGGAAACGATACGAGTGGAGTGGCAAGAACGAATTGGAATTGATGTACCTTGATGGGAAAGACCACGGTCAGGGCATCATGGTTCCGTTCCCTCACAAGCCTATTGCAAACGTGATTGAGACGTATTGTCGGCGTGATGATGGGTTTGTGGCGTTTGGCGACAAGTACATTGGTGGCCCAGAGGCCGAAGATGGAATATTTAGAAGCAGTACTTCCTTGAATATGTACGGGATGAGGCAAAGGGAGGACGTTGAGATGAAGCAGATTTAGCTCGTCGGAGGTTACTGAAGGTTGGTGTGGTGCAGGAATCATTTTGTGGCATAACTGGATCGGCCTACATACTAGGCAATAAACACTCCTGAAGTTTGTTTCAAAGCAATAGGTTCTGCTGCTGGTGCAGAATGCTGAAGCGTTTTGCGTAAAATAATGGTTAACGAGTTGATAATACTTCTTTAGGAGAGAATGTCGTTGAAGCCTTGGAAAGCCGGTTGTTCAACGAGTTTTGATTCTTTAACAAGGCACCAATGATACATATATTTATAATTCTAAGAGCACTTGCACGTCTGAGCTAGGTGTTCATTCAGTTCCACGCACATGGCTAGTTCCAAGTTGGCTCAGTAAAAAGCGATCAAATTGTGTTCACAGTACCGTCTCTCTTGAGAGACTACGAATCAACACTTTTGGACCTACTTGGAGCTGCAGAGCATCTACTTAAAGTACTTAGGTGATACTTAAGGCGTTATGATAAACGCACATAGCTCAACATAAGTAAAAGCACATCAACCATCCTCACTAGGGGAGCTCAACCTCAATAACGCTGAAGGCATCAGGTGGCTTTTTCCAAAACTTTATAGTCTTCAGCCCGACCGAATCAAGCAAGGCCACCCATTGTTTCTCAGTTCGCTCTTGTCCTGCCAAGTAAACCATCATCGCCATGTCAAATGCGGCAGTGGACATCTGACTCTTCTCGTCATCAAGAATCTGGTCATGAATGAGAATTCTGCTGTAACCAGGCTTCATAGCATCTTTTTGCATTAACAGGATCTTTCGAGCGGGCTCATCCGACCAATCGTGGATAATATGATGCAAGTAGTATACCTTGGCGTCTTAAAGAAATCGACTGGTTAGTAACGTGGGATGGTATCCAAGTAGAGTTGTGTGACTTACGCTTGATTGGCTGAGGGGTGAAGAAGTCGTAATTCAATTTTTTCACAGCTTCTGGCACAATGTTTGCGGCGACAACCTCCGGAAGGTCTGCGAGATAGAGCCTCGGCGCGAGTTCGGGATATGCGTTGTAGAGTCTCATCAAGTCGTGCCCAATGCCCCCTCCAACATCCACAAACAGAGGAAGATTAGGATCTGAATTCGCCACCAGTGTTTGATAAGGATACATATCCATCCAAGGAGACTCTTTTTCGGTGGAGACTTTTTGAAGCATGTTGAAAGTTTCTCCCCATTCTGGATGTTCCCGACAGTAGGACCATAAATCGCCTTTGTAACCCTTGGCTCTTTGAAATATAGTATCCTTTACATCAACAGGATTCTTGTATCCCATATCGGCCAGGATACTGTGCATTTCTCCGTACATTTTATGGGTGGCGAAGAAGCTTGTGAACATAAATGGGTGTTCTGACCCCTTGAGTAGGATTACTTACTAGTAGTCAAGAAGCACGCCGAAATGTGAGTTTAGCTCAATGCAGAATTGCTTTGGCTTGAACAAGTCTACCGGTATCTGTTCTATGAGATGGCTGGATGCCAAGAGGCGTAGCATACGGCCTTGCTTCGTCAACCCTTAACTCCGACGAATATAAGCCACATCAGTTTTGGGTAAGCACTCACAAAGCAATGCTGAGTCACATTTCCCAACTAGATCAGCAAGTTGGACGCTCGTCATTGGTTGGTTACCTTTCTCATTCCATTTTTGAAAAAGACGCAAATCCTTCATTACTTTGAGCGTACCAATGACAGCCGGCTAAGTAATCGTACTCAGTTTTTGCTAAGTCTTCAATAGGGTATGCACATTACCTGACTCAGAAGTATACGGACATATGTCTCCCAGGGAGTCTCTAATTTCCCTATCAACTCATACGTTGCTTGAAGAACTTCTGACCTTTCCAATTCATCTCTGAAAGACGTTGTCGCAACTTCATGTGCTGCTCGAACGAAGTTTTGGGCCGGCCTCGAATTCGCACTTGTGCTTATGTTGGTCTGACCAACGCTATGAGCCATGATTGAGACAGTCAAGGTGATAGTACGGAAGAGATAAAAGCTGATGTGGGAATATAAGAGCTCAAGCTTAATGATACAACATAATATGATGAAGAAATTGTGTGCAAGCGCTTTTGATACTGGGCTTTTGGATAAGAGCCAACCAAGGTTTGAGGATCAAATCAAACGCCGTGTGTAAACAATGTCTCCAAAGGGTGCAGATTAAGCATATATGCAAAATGGTGCCCTCCCCATTCGAAGGACAAAGAATGTTGAGAAGGAGCTTCGTTGAATGTTCAACCTTGTTTAGCATTATCTATCTAACTCGGCTTCTTCGCCTATCCTCAGCCTGCGGCTGGGGACCAATGTTAGGTCACAATTCGAATGCTTTGTCGTCCAAGTAACTATCCGCAAATAAAATTTCGGATAAAACTGGTGAAAAAATGCCCCCATTTTGAATAATTTCAGTAAAAACTTTCAAAATTGCCTGAGAATCACCGGAGGTGCGGATCTGTTTCGATCGAGAAAACTTAACCACTACAACAGGGTCTGAGCCAACTTTGAGATGCAAAAACGTTGGACGATACATACTTTTAGCTCACACAAACTAAGAAAAACCGGCACCCTCCAATTTCAGCATTGACTTTCTGCATGAATCAACTGAGCTGTTGCATTTCCACTTGAGTGTGAGTTCTCGAGACACCACGGCTACAAATCTAGGGAAACCCCATTTTTCATCTGGAAGTTTTGTCACTTGAATGGCCCAAACCAAGGTCGAAGCTGGACTACACGCCACAGCTGCTCTCAAGCCCTTTTGTGGCTGGTGGCTGGGTCCTAAGCCTCTAAGCTTGAGAGTCATATGCGGTAAATGTAAGTTTCACGTTTCGAAATCATTGAAATCCAACCTGGAATGAATTCCAAGCTCCTGTCACGCTTTCGCAAACAATGTAGATGGTGACCAAAGTTGCGCATCACATAACGCTTACCTTATACTCCGTTGATCCCTCACACATTCAGAGAGTATTGACTTATTGTGCGGCTAATGAACATCGGTGTCGGCTACTTTCAGACCAGGTGGTAAGTGGTATGTATAGTAGGAGTTTGACGAAAGAAAGCACTACTCCAATGGTAGCCTGCTGAGTGAGCACTGACCTTGAGAAACATTCAAGGGTTTTTTTCTCCTTTTCTTTTGTGATTGAGTTAATATTGTCCTGGTGTGCAGCTACAAATTGTCTGGACCGCTGATCGGGTCTGGACAAAAGAACTTTCAAGTGCCATGTTTGTGTGCAAAACTCTTGTTGCCATTGCCCCGATAACAGCTATACCAACTGTCGACATGATAAAAACTCAAAGCTGTCTATCATTCGTGCATTCATAATGAATGTGCACTTCGGACCCACACTTGTACAGTCTTATAGGGCGCAGGACGAAGATTTAACAAGGCATATTAGCATTGAAAGTTGCCCTCAAGCCATGTCAGCCAACAAAGATTTAATTCCTCATTCGGTGAGACAATTCCTCAGTCTTATAAACTGAATGACTGTTTCTTGTATGTGTAATCCACCCGGTTGCTTGATTTTTCCTTGGCCAGCTTTGGTGAAATACACAACTTACTTTTCACGTACACTACCTTGGTATCTTTCAATGCTTCAAATTATGGGAACTTTCATGTAATCATAGATGAGTCCAATTTGATTAATTTAGAGCTGTGCCATTTCAGAAAACACAGGGTTTGGGTAGATATTACCCCATCTAATAGACCATTCCGTAGGAAATAGGGTTGGGAGCGAGCAGCTTGTGATTAGATAGTGTGGTGAATTAGGTGGCTAGATTTGCGTTGCAATCACTGTTCGGCGTCTGCCCATAAGAAAGGATGGGGGACAAACAGAATACCGTTAATTCATGCAGTGAGCTGCCCTAACGAACATAGTAATAACAAATCTACTCAAAGGATAGTATTAGTATTGATTAGTATGAATTTCTAGACCTGTTCGCAGGAGTAGATGACTTCTCTGCTGCTTCTTGTTGAATTCGCTTGCACAATATTGCCTATGAACACTTATATTCCATATTTTATCCTCTCTGAAGTATACTTTTAGAAACGGGTCGTCATGCGTGGGTGTTGGTTAGGCCCTGAATTATTATGACAGCCACTTTGATTGCGTCCAGGACAAGCTGAGATTTGCACAAGTAATACTCTCTGTCAGTGAAGTGTGGCAAAATGTGGGTTAACCATGACCCGTCAGCAATACGTTGATTTTCGAGATAAGTACTGTGAACTTCCTCACACAGCCTAGCTCAGGATGGTTTACGAATTCGCGATCAAAATGGCTTCAGAAGCCTTTCATTTGCGCTAAACATGGTTGTGGGCACTTTGTTGCAGACCGGCCTGGTAATGAAGTGATTGGTGAGTGGATAAATACCTAGGTGAGTTTGCCAGGGACCATAACTTAACTTTCCTTCGGGACTACTCCGCCATGTATAGAGTTTCGAAGTGACTGATAAACCTACATTGCGGAGTTTGTTTTTTGGGAAGAAATCGAGCGCATGCAGGGGCATCGTTCATTGCATACCACGCATTTGATATGGGCTCAACTCATATTGGATGAATTGTATTTCGCATGAGCCATGTTACAGTCTCTGCACCCCAATGACTCAAACACAGGGACACCGCGCCTTGATGAACAAGGTACGGCATTCACTAACTTCACCATGAACTTGAAAAACTTTTAGGAGGGTTTTCAAAGATTGATCGATGCACTCAGTGACAGTTTGATTGTACCTAGACTTAGAAGCCGAAGCTCTGTGCACTGTGAACAGCTAAAATGCTGTGTAGCGTGCTTCAGTCAGCACGCAGATAGATACTACGCGAGGGCAACAGGTGTACCAGACTCGATCTTACTACAAAACTAGAGGGGATTTCCATCTTTTTTGTGTGCGTATTGACTAGGAAGGGTGAGCTCTACCTCATCCACTAATCAAGCTAGTCGAAAAGAACAAAACCCCAAGGAATACTGCCGTAAACTCTATATATTAGCAGGAAATCTTCGCGCTAATGAAAGAAAACGATCTATATCCACAGTGTATTTCTAGCGGACATAATTCCGTGGCCTCCATAGCTCGAATAGACTTTCACGTTATTGAGGGGCTCGTTGCAAGTGTGATAGCAATCAGCTGATGTTGACCGGCACGGTTGAACTGACTGCCGGAACGTTCCTGAGTAACCATGACTGCGAATTTTGAAACTAAACATTCTAAACGGCATCATACCCGGCTAGTCCTAGGGATACTCTCATGAACCCCTGATAGTAGTGGCTTACTTCAAAGTCAGGAGAACTTTTCATCGAGGAAAACACGCGAGTCGCCGGTTTCTGTCTATACATTATATCAGGGAAGATAGGCACCCAAGCTCCCGCTCAGTAGTCCTGCATGGCAGTTAAGTTAGTTTTACGTACCGGGATCTGGGTGGCATATAGAAAAAGTATTTTAAGGCTAGATACTCCCGCCCATTCATAAGGGTCGGCACCTCAGCGTGTCGCGCACCATCAATCTGACCTGACACGTTGTTGGCTGGTCAACATCATAACCGTGGACTCAATGACAACGCACTTGGCCCGCTCACTAGAGCAGCATGCTCATGATATTGCTCCGTCATGGAAATAAACACGAGCGTTGCCGAAATTTGGTCGCTTTATGCGATTGCGACTACGATGATCGCGATGAGAATCTTCTGCCGCACAAAGATGGTTGGCGTATCAGGCTATCGCCCTGACGATTATTTGGTTTTCTTTGCATGGGTAAACTCACATTCAGTTGATGTTGCGAAATGGAGGCTGATACATAACGGGCAGGCTGTATATACTACAGTATCCACGATGGCGACGCTCTTCGTGTTGGTCGCCCAGGGCAGATACACCTCACTGCTTACACACGAACAGCGAGAGACGATGCCAGAATCAGAATTGTATGTAAGAGCAGAAGAAATCACCAACGCAAAACAAATGGATCTAACCGGCTAGATCGCAGCCCGATTTGGGAGTACGGCTCGAAGAACTTCGTGATTGGGATGTGTTGTTATGCCACAATTGTCTGGACATTAAAATTAAACAGTAAGTGGGCGTCTTTTTTATGTCCTTCCTCTGGCCAAACATTGAGCTGACTAGAGGAATAAAGTGCTTTTCTTCTATCGACGATTAGTTGAGGGTCAATGGGTGGAAAAGTTCATATTTCCCGTCATGGGTCTAGTTGGGGTTACAGCGGTCGCTATGGTTTTAATTATTCTTCTAACTTGCCGTCCAATCACCCTGATGTGGCAAATACGGCCGGATCCTGGGGGTGCGCCAGCATCGTTAACCTGTTGTTCGAAGGCGTTCCACTAACATGCATACAGAGAATTGCACACCTCAAAACAAAGTTTATTTCTACAGTATTCTAGCCATGAATCTGACAACAGATTTATGTATCATTACTATACCTATTCCGGTCAGTATCCTGGGACAAAAAGAACCCTCCCTGTTAGCTCACTACCCTGGTTTGTATTTTGTGACTAAATCTTCATGTAGGTTATCAGTCTCGTCCGAGCATCGATCTGGCGCAGACTCGGCGTCTACTTCCTTTTCATTTAGGTGTTTTTGTCATGACGGCAGCAATTATCCGTGTGATTTTGATCTTCCATGCAAGTCTTCATCGACCGCATTAAACATCTAACACTTTACTGACTTGCGCAATCAGCCCACCGGACAGTTTGGCCCTGGTGCAATGTGGTCTATTCGAGAAGATTTCGTAGCGATATTCGTCGGACAAGCTCCAATGATTGTCCCCATGTTTAAGAAAAGATTTTGGCAACAACCAAGGAGCAGATTTACACCAAAGTCCAGTCAAGGATCTGAAGGCCATGAACTCGGTCACGGAATGTCGAACCAAAACCAAAACAAGAAACCAAAAGATCCATACAGCTTAACCCAAATGGGTTTTACTCACATCACCAATATTACCAATGTGACACGCAATACTCAAGCTGAGAAGAGTGTTGTAGGGAAAGGTAGCCAGGAAGAGATTACCGTGACGGAAGAGAATATTGGAACTGAAGGCGCCAAATCACAAAGCGAACATGTCGGCGTAGGTTTGGGGGTGAACGGCCACGTGGAGTATGACGAAAGAAGTCACAGTCTTGATATCACACGTGCTCCAGATCTAGAATCTTGGAGGCCGGAGGTTTTGACAACAGCAAAAGGGACACCAGGCGTATAGGATTGTAATCAGCAGCGGATGGTTGAAAGCTCCGATGATTAATTAAGACTAAGTATAGCTACCTCTTTCTTCTCATAAGCCTTGGTGATTTGAATCCAGCGACAATCTTTTCACGTATTAGATCTGCCTCAGATATTCGACCTAAACACAACCCATTTCCTTATCAATAAAGAGCGTGCAATGTAGAAACAAATGCCCCCCAACACAACAGACGCAAGGTACAGTGCAGCGGCGCCCATGGGTCCAACTTGCTCAAGCACCGCACCCCCAGCGGGTAGTGAGGCGAGCGCGCCAAAGGCTACTACGAAAGTGCTGGTCCCTGCATCGACTCAAGGTTAGACTGAACCGTTGGCACACAAGTTACACCGTGGGTTAATGTTGATGGCAACTTACCGTAATATCTACCATAGTCTTTCGGGTCGCAAGTTTTGCCTACACACACTGTGATGAGTTAGCTGCTGAGTATTCAAGTTTTCTCCTTTTGTTGGATTCCTTTCTTGGGAGATATAACTTACCTGGCGTGATGGAGAGAAAAGAGCCAGATCCAAAACCCCATGTGGCAGCGAAGGCATACAAAACTTCCACAGATTTAGTTCCAAAAGGAACAAAAAGGACTGCTGTAAAAACTGAAGTGAGTGTAACCATGAACAGGATAACATCAAAATGCCCCACATGGTCTCCAGCAAGGCCTGGCAAAAGGCGTCCGAGACACGAACACCCATTAAGGGTAGCAACTAAGGTAAATCCCGAATTGGGCAGAAACCCTGCCTCAACTGCAAAAGTCGGAAGCAGAACACCTATACCTATGACTGAGACTTCGAATAGAAAGAATCCAACTGTGATGAAGAGAAAGGGCGTTGATCGAAAAGCAGCGAAATTGAGGGCTGCTGACTTTTGTTCGCTGGGGCTTTGTGCGGGTTTAATCAACTTGGGAAATGGCAAAAGGCATATCATCCCAACGATTGTGAGTCCTAAAATGATGAAACCAAGCATTCTAGCTGTCCAACTCCAGCCTATCTCTGGTAGAGTACGACGCAGAATCAAAGGAAATATAACTCCCGCAAAAGATGAACCGGCTAAGGCAGCCCCCATGGCCAAACCACGGCGGCGAGCAAACAGTTTGCCAATCGACGATATAGCAAGTGAGGATGATACAGCTGCACCAAAACCGCCAAGCACACCCAGACAGAGTAAAAACTGCCAATACTCCTTGCATTCAGCTAAGAAGAAAAACTTGGGAACTGTGAGGAAGATAGCAACTGGAGCTAGAAATCGGGGTCCGTAACGGTCCATCAACGGTCCGACTTGAATTCCGAATAGCAGTGCAATTGCAGTGTCTAGTCCAGTGATCCATCCGATATCTCTAGAAGAGTAGTCTTTCAACTGATTCAGTTGGAGATAAGACTGAATGGTTCCGATAGATTGGGAGAAACCTTTGGTAGCGTTAGCTTGGCGGTATTGAAACAAGGAGGCTAGTTCCATTACCGAAGGAAGACATCAGGAAAAGAGACGACCCGAAAACACAAATCCATCGTCGTAAGTCGGACTCATTGTGAGAAGATTTAGAAGCCTCTATCTCGTTATTACTAGTATTTTCGAAGTTGGGCTCGGCTTCAACAGTTGTACTTGTAGAATGTAGGTTAGGATGCTCGGGCGTGCTCATTGTGTTGCGACTCAAAAGAAATTTGCTAATCAAGTGAAAAATTGGTACGGCTATGCCCAAATTTGTGCAGCTTTTATGGCCTAGGTATTATTTATCTGCTTTCAACGTATCTTTTGTAAAAGTCTTGCCGTATGTGTGTGTCACCGAATGTATGATTGCGCCGTGCGTTAGACTAGACCCTCATTCTGTCATCCGCGCCCAACATTTAACAGATTTGCCTTCCTAAAATGGGCAAAAATATGACACACATTCGACATGAGCGCTGAAAGATGAAGAGATCCAGAAATAGAGGGGAGGGGGAAGGGCTTAAGATTGCCAGCTCGGGTCGGTTTTCCTCCGTCCCCTTACAACTTACGGCAACTAGGCCATTGTTTTCAAATAAAAATGGAGGTATGGCAGCCAAGTTCGCCTGCTTTGCATGCAAGCACTCTCAGAGTATCAGCTAGATTATAATGTTGAACGCCTTGACTTGGTGTAGTAAATTCTTCTATTCTGCCCTGATAGTTTCTAACGACGGCAGAAACAAAGCCCTCCTGAGTTCTGTTACAGAACCCTTTGCCACTCGAGACACTTGACATGGCCGGCTTCGGACGTCTACCAGCATCCCGTCAGACACTGACCAACAACCTCAGTCGATGGGGCATAGCGTTGTGGTTCTAGTGTAAGGCGTACTTGACGTATGTGCCGTTCAACCAATCACAAAGAAATAAAGGGTGGAGACGACCGCCGATTTTGGTATATCGAGTCAATGCATGAAGACATGGATTGACCCTCAGCACCGCCCTCCACATCATCTTGTGCAAAATATCCTCGCCAGCCACGTCAGGTCAGTATTTCGGGGGTCACACACATTACGCCCTACGCTGAAATTCGATCTCTCACGCAATCAAGTCTTAACTATTACGACTCTTTGACAAGGGGCTTGTTCCACTGAGTGCTACAACTGGCGGTGGAGAACCGAAGTATTGGCGCCATTATGAACCAAGAAACGCCGCATCACTTTCACGAGACCACCTTGTCTATTGCCAGTGGGCTTGCCGTAGAAGCGGTAGACTCAAGCGAACTTCGGCCCAGCCTCTCATTAGGCGACATAACAAGCGATGAATCTCTCCAGTTTACTTCGTTTGAGCCATTCAGCGGCGAGAACTCCCCTTTTGAATTCGACGGATCTCTCGATTACGTTGGTAATGGGCTTGGAAGCGGATGGGTGACTCCCATTGCATCTTGCGCCAACTGTATCACTTGGGGCTATCAATGTCAGACAGCACAAGAATGTGAGTCTCAAGGTCGCTGTATCCCGTGTGCATCGCTTGGGTGCGACTGCAGCTTTACCGAATCCTATCTAGGTGCACCTGGAGAAGGAATCAGTAACATCCTTGATGGCAGGAGACTGGAGCCAGACAACTTGCAAACGTCTCCCAGAGAAGACACTTTGAAAAGCTCGAGTGACGCATTCCGCGCCATCACAGGTTCAAACACCTCGACGCCTCCCCCTCCCAAGATTGGCACGAGTTTTTCTCGAGATTCAACTCGAATATTAAGGCAATGGCTGTCTTCGCACACTCACCATCCATATCCGAGTGATGAAGAGAAAAAGATTCTGCAGCATCAGACGGGCCTTAGCAAAATTCAAATCACGAATTGGCTTATTAATGCGCGAAGGCGAGGCAAAGTGCAGAATCGTCAACGATCCATCTCACCCTACTCAGGAAGTACAAAAACAACACCAATCGATGTTCCTAAGAGGCCGGGGACGCCAGCACCAAGAAACAATCCACGCCATCAGGGCCTGAACCCGTTGGAGCGATGGGTTGACTCCCCCCCGGAACACGAACCAGCAACAGTGACTGCCATCGCGCGGGCAGTTGCCTCCAGCCATGCTGGATCTTCAGGTATATTGCCCCAAGGATATGATTGACAATTTTTGCAAAGAAAGACTGGACGGCTAATAGGGTTTGGAGTTACAGACGATAGTTATATCGCCAGCTATATTAACGATGAGCCAGCACGGTCGCTTCGGTCGTCTGCCAGCAGCGCTGGTACCTCTAGCGGAGGCTCATTTGCTTCTGCATATTCCCACAACTCTAGTGGCTCTGTCACGATTCCTCGCCCACTTCCTCGAGGTCGTATACGCCAACGGAGACGACCGAAACGAACATCTTTAGCACATCCCCGAAATCAGTACCAGTGCACGTTTTGTACAGAAACTTTTAGAACCAAGCATGACTGGCAACGGCATGAAAAGTCTTTACACATGCCTCTGGAAAGATGGATGTGCTCTCCAGATGGACCCAGCGCTGTCAACCCAGAGACTGGACAGATCTGTTGCGTGTTTTGTGGTGAAGTTGACCCCAGCCAAGCCCACATAGACAGCCACAATCCTTCGGCTTGTCAAGAACGAACATTCAACCGAAAGGATCACCTTAAGCAGCATTTACGCTTGGTTCATAACGCTGGGCTACTTGAATGGCCTACCAAGCTTTGGAAAATGGCTATTCCAGACATCAGATCTCGCTGTGGCTTTTGCGGTGCGCTTCTGGATACATGGGCTTTTAGAGCCGATCATTTGGCAGATCATTTTAAAATGGGTCAAGATATGGCCAATTGGAAAGGTGACTGGGGATTTGAGAAAGACGTATTGGACATGGTCGAGAACTCTGTCCCACCATGTGAGTACAATTGTCCTTAAGGTAAGTGCTACTTCTGTTAACTTCTATGACAGATCTTATCGAATACGAACGGTTTTCTCCGTTCCCGTATCAGGCCAGCGAAACACCGCCGGAGTCCCCGCGAAATGCGTTTGGTCTGCTGACTTTGGAGCTCAACCACTTTCTGGGAATGTTTTATGAAAATACAGGAAGCATGCCCGACAATGATGACATTCAGCTCGAGGCTTGTCGCATAGTTTTTGCGTCCAAGACATCATCATCGCTAGAAAAAGACATCAGCGCACAGCACGAGTCGTGGTTGCGAGATTTAATTACATCTTCTCATGAGATCACGCGGAAGGCTCGCTTTGGTCCCATTAGGTCATCTGCCGAAGGCATGATGTCCGTCCTTCAGATCAAAGGGAAAAAGAGTCTGTTCGAGCAATGCCCATGCGAAATGCAACTTCAAACGTTCGTGGAAGCTCGCCGGATACTGGGCTCGAGAATCATCAGCGATCAAGAGCTACAGAATGAGGCTTGCAAGATTGTGGTCGACATGGGAAAGAATTGCGGTGTCTCACCTTCCGACTTCGTGGCTAATTGGCTCATTAACCTTATCGGATCATCAACGGAATGGCTTCATGGGTTTAGGGCCAGAAAACAACTAAACGCTGCCGAAAGCGCACCCAGCTTCCTAAGTCCGTACACAGCCAATGTAGTTCAGGAAGAACCAGCAGCACCTCTTACTGGCAAACAGGCCCTTTATGCGGAGGCACAATCGCAACAGTTGAATAAAATGACCACAAACAACCTGCGTGCCGACCTCCATGACAAAGGATTGAAGACCAGACTGGGTGAAGATGGCAGCTCTTTCCTTTCACAACTAGGAAACTTTGACGCCAGATTCGACAATAGTCTGAGCCCGGCAACTTTGTCCACGGTGATTGAGCCTGATGTACTGACGATGCCGATACCATCAAGCTCTCCCAATGAACTTTACTCTGCTTTGGCAGCAGGGCCTGGCCTGGAGTGCCAAGGGCCAGAGAGTCCTGAAACGGAAGAGAGTAAGATAGACAAGGACCTCCCGCCGACCTGGCCAAGAGTCAAAGCGAACTACTCTTTCTTCAATGATGCAAACTTCAACCGATGGCTCGCTCTGGAATTGAGGCGCTGGGTTGCGGCGACAATGTCACCTAACAACCCTAACTGCCATGTCCCATCGGATGAGGAGCTCCAGCATCAGGCCCGATTCATTGTTTTTGAAGAGTAAGTAACTCCACAACCGCCAATAGTTGCGACACTTTCTTAAACGATATTAGTGGTGATCCTTGGAACCAAACTTCAGCAGATAACCTCGAATGGCTGCGACGGTTCAAGCGCGACATTGGCATCTTGTCGGAAACAGATCCAGAATCGGCCTGGAGGCGACCTAGTACATTTTCAAAGAATTAACTGACCCGAGCCCAAAAATGTTGTACATTGGCAGGAAAATCAGGTAGGTCAAACCACCAGATGAGTACCTGTTGATCACCACAGTCTCTGTTTCATTTCATCGTACCTTAGTTGATAGAACTTCTTGTTCAAGCGGACGATGTAAGACTTATCGCAATTTTTAATAAAGCTTGCAATTAACTCCTCGGGTAATTTTCAGCATTTACCGCAGTTTCGAGCAAGTTAGATGAGGCTAAGTTATCATTCCGCAATCCCCCAGCAAAATTCGCCGTGTTGTCCCTCAATGGCAGTGATACTGAGTAAGATGTGAAGGTAAGGTTGTCATGACCAGTTTTCCGCGCCTGCTCCGATATTACAATGAAAACGATGCCAAGCAAGACGCTTTTTTCTTTGCTTTTAATATCCAAACACTCCCATCGCAGATTGGCCTTAACTTTTTCGAGCATTAGCTAATGTTAATCAAAGTTGAAATACGTACTGTTATTGCCAGTTGCAAAATGATCTTGAGATTGGCAACTATAATGGTGTTGGAGTTGTGGTGGGTAACGCCACAGGTAAGATGCCCCGCGTTCTGCGCAACAACCACCTGTGAATAGCTTCAACTAGTCAATAAAATCGTAAAGCAAATGCTTAATAGTTGTTACTGCGATATATCAGCAACTGTAGAACCATCTGTTTGGCAATTTGCAGATAAGCCCTAGTACTGTTGGCGCCCCAGTAGTTTAGTTAAAGGCTTCCATTTAAACATTGCTTTAGTGTCCGAAGTCTCTGGCTCAAGCACTGACTTCAAAAGGTGTCTCCGTCCAAAATGGTCAGAAAGGCTGAGGGGGACATAACGACCTTAGCCTGGTGCTATAGTGAAGTAACCTGTCTTGTCGAATAGCTGGCAGTGGCCTTTTTATGATTTTAGATTGGCCACATAGAACCAGGAAGCAACGGCACGAAAGTGCCGAGTATATTCCAACCGACCGGCTTCTACTGTTGTTAGTGGGTGTTGCGATAGTTGGAATACGGAGTCGTGTGGCACTTCCAGCCACACGCCCGCCAGGCTGAGAGGCCCAAGCCTCCTGTTACGACCCGACAGTTAACAGACCACTGACGACGACCCCGCAGGGGCTCAGCGGTTATAGGGACGGCCGTCAGCCGTTACGTCGTAACAACCCCCACGGAACGGAAGAACTAGGATACAGGTCACGTGACGATAAGCAGGACCGACGGTGCCAAGGGCGGTCCATGGCGATGGACCGACGTCCTGGGTGTCGGTCCCCCAGGATCAGGAAGTGTTCAGCATGGAACCAGACTTGTATATAGTTGGGACTCGAGTCCTCTCGAGTCCTACCTTTCCTAGTTCTTCAGCAATCAACTTTGTGATTACCCTAACCGGTACTTTCAGCTATACCTAAGTGACGACTACTCTACGACTCTTGTTGAGGCCTTGACTGATCACCAAGACCTTTGAAGATCTACGATCTATTCGACCAGGACCACGGAACGACTGTTACTACTCTCAATCCCTGGCTTACTGTTAACACAAACCCACTGTCAGTTAGCTGGCCGTAACACCTCCCAGACCTACGTGACAGGCCAAGGGGGAATATCCCTACCTTCTAGTTAACAACACTACTTTCAACTATCATAAACTATCGATTAAAACTAATTTACTATTATTTGTTATTTGACGAACGGAATTCCGTTTTACCCCTTGTAAAACCTATACTGATTAGTAGTAAACCTTATAGTTGCTATTAATTTAGTTAACTTTATAATTACTACTCTGCTACGGATAAACCGTAGATTAGCAAGGTTAATACTAGAAGAGACGACTTCTTGAACTAGATACCTAAGCCTAGGTAAAAGTAGGGATTTCGTACTAACGAGAGAAGAAGTAAGAGTAACTAGGATCTACGGAAACTAGCAGAAGAAAGCTTCTTTTCCTCGAATCTACTAGCAATCCGATTATTCGAGTAACCTAGGGACTGCTATGCTTACCCTAGGCGGGATAAGGTTAATCGTAGCTAATTATCGCTAGCAAGAGCGTTCCATCACGCGTTTTCAATTACTAGAAGAAGAGACCTACCAAATCGACGGTCTTCTAACCTTTTTACGCTATAAAGGCGAAGATTTACAAATCTTATAAAGGATAACAACTTCCCTAACTATAACTATCCCCTACGCGCGGTGCTAATTACGAGGCGCCTGCTAGTTTCTTAATAAATCCCTAGACAAGGTGCTAACCGCGAGGCGCCTACTATAAGAGACCTCCCTACTAGAAGAAGAACACGCCGAAAGGCAAGCGGAGACTACTAGCAGTAATCCGCCTATATAGCTATACGTATACGCCTCCGAGGCTACGGCTTAGGAGAAACGCACGTAGTTGTAGGCGTCATAAGGCTAACTGTCCGCTAGATTCTAAACTTCCTAACAGTGAGGAGCGAAGCCTGAAGCGAGAAAAGAGATTTACGAGAGAATCTACGAACATTAGCGAGAACGGCGCTGACGGAAACAAACGACGAACCGACGAAAATCACCGATTTCACAATTCTTTCCTCTTAGAATTAATTCAAGATTCTAAACAGAAGTAATCCTTTTATACTATTAGAATAAAGCGAAATTTACGAGAAGGATCGCTTGCAAGCAGCGTTACTACTAAAAGCTAATCAATAGTCCCTATCCTATAGAGAATCGAAAGTATAATCGATCTAGTAGTATAGGGTAACTAGGCAATCGACCTTATAAACGCTAGCCTATAGCAACTAGGTTCCTATATAGGTTTCCTACTTAAGACCTATAAGAAGAGGAATCTTATAAGCCTCGAGCTATAGAACGAAGTTTCTCCCGATTTCGCTAACTAGTTAGAAGAAGACTTCTAGAATATACCTCCCCTAATCCTACGATTCTTTAGAGACTATTTAATCGGTAACGGCGTCTACGTCGAAATAGATAGCAAGAAAATCTTGAAAAACATAGCATTAGCCTTCAAAAAGGAAGAATTCTACTACTAGTCACCCTAAGAACTCGAACAAGGCGTTAAGAGATATCGCAACCTAAAGGCTTTAATAAAAGACCCTGAATTCTACGAAGAGATCACGAGACCGGCAATAGTAGCTAACAGCATAGGAGGAAGAGTCGAACCAACCCTATAGCTACCTCCTCTACAAGAACAACAATAGTAGCAACTACCGTACCGACCGCTATATCCCACGGTCTCTCCGTTAACAGACTTCTAACTATACGAGTTAACAGACCGTATCGGAAAGCAATTAACAGAATTCGCGAAACTATACCCCGACGATATAAAATATAGCGGCGATATGTACGATGTACTTGAAAAGAAGATGCTAGTATTCGTAGATTACTATAGAATGCTAGGAATTTACACCTCCTAATACAATAGGGTACTTCCCCTAATACTAAAAGGAATAGCTAAAACCTACTTCTACGCCTCGATTAAAGTAATCAACCTATAGCCTAACTTCGAGACTATGATTAACTAATTAAAATCATACTTCGAGACTAGGGAAAGGCAATAAGCATACGTTACGTAGTAGAATATAACTACTCTTCCCTAAATCATTCGCAATAACCTTAGAAAGACTAAATCGGAGTATTTTAATATACTATATAACAAATTAAGCAAGATTCAGCCTGGTTTGCTATAATAGGATTATAACGACCGATCCCTCTATACCTAACTTCTATATGCTTATAGAGATATTCTAGAGTATGTAATAGCGTTATTTATACCGGCTAAGACGTACGAGGGACTTTATAGCTAATTAATCTCGTCGATCGAGACAGCTACCCGTCTTAACTAATAACAATTTAACATAGTAGCTAACCTACTAAAGTAGTACTAGACCGATAGAACTTTTAACGGTCGAGGGCGTTATTTACGATATAGTCGTTTATTACGAAGTCGATTATTACGAGGAAGAAGCCGTAACAGACCCCTATTACCGCTAACGCCTAAGAAGTGCTACGTATATAGAAAACCTAACTGCTAGTCAACTAAATATACTATAGAAGAGAGACGAAAAGCGTACGAGAAGTTTAAAACTACTTAATATGCCTAGGATACGTTACTTCTAGCATATAGCTAATTTCTTATCTAATACGAGGGTTTCGACGGGTTAGACTTATAACCTACCGCCGAAGACCCCTAGCAATACTACTACGTAACCGAATAAACTAGTAAAAGTAACGAAGAGGAAGAGACCGGCAGCGATAGTTAATTCCAAGTTACCGCCTATTTTACTATAATAGCAATTAATAGTAATAGGATCGCTACGATCCTAGCAGACTAGTTAACCTGCTATACTATTACGAAAGAAGACCTCTTCCGCAACTAACTAGAACCGAAAAAGCTACCTTCGCAATTTATACTCGAGGGATGCTACTCTGCTTAGAACTTCTAAGGGATTATGCCCGACTCGGGCGTAGCAGGATTCTTAACCGCTAGCTACTTATAATTCGTGGCTTTATAATAAATTTACGAAGGAATTACGTTAAATACTAAGGCAGCTAGCGGCGTTATAGTAAAATTCGGCGATAGGATACTACTAGAGTCTATAGGGACTACTAAAGTGCTAACGCCGTTTGGAAGCGTTAAATTTTACGTTATTAAGACTAATACTCCCTTCCTTATATGCCTAGGAGATATAGACCGATTAAAGGTCTACTTTAACAACGTTACGAATACCCTTATCTAAGGAAATAAGGTCGTACCTATTATTCGCAAATAAGGCTACCTATAGTTATTACTTAATAAGGAGAAACTACTTGCCTAGAACTACCTTATAGACGCTAAATTGCGACGGGTTTACTATCGCTTCGGATACCTATCTATTTAACAATTATATGTTAGAAGTATAAGTATATTATACTTCTATTTTACTTATTTATCCTATTTAGTCTTATCTAAGACTTAGTAGGACTTACAAAAGTAACTAGCTAAGAATGGCTGCTTGCTAGTTTAAACATATGACATTCAGATCCCTATGGAATACTCTCTTTAACCTTATCTAAAAGTCTATTTAGTTAAAGAAGATTCTAGTCTGATTTATAAGCTGCTTTATAAGCTAGTTGACGTATATACTTACGTATACTAAACCTAGCTTATAGCTTCCTATATTAGCTATTATAGGCGACGTTATACTACTATATAACTAGCCTAATTCTCTCCCTTAGCTAGCTATTAGTTCCTCAACCAACTCAGCTTCAATATAAGCCTATACATTCTTTACTATTAAAGCCCTACTTCATAAGTACAAGTTCCCTTACTCTAATACCCTGTTATAAGGATATCGTACTATCTACGAGATTCCTACCTACCGTTCCAACAGCTACTTAGGAAGCCTTACGCCTCTGCTAGATAGATATATATTAAGGACCCCTAGACTAGCTAGTTACCGACGCTAGAATAAACTTCCGCTTAATAGAATTCCGAAACGCAGCGAGAAGAATAGTAATTAAAATCAAGGAAATTCTTATAAAAGCTTATAATAGTATTAGGAAAGTTAAACGATACTATATACCTCTAAGGAAGGCGTACGAAATTATTAAAGTAGAAGACCTAACAATTACGCTAGAATTAGTACTTTAAATAGTAGTCAAAGTAGTTAACGATACTGCTAGCCTGAACGGAATAGTACTAATACTCTTAGTATTCGGCTTATACCTACGAATTACCGACGATTCGCTACTATCTCCCGAAGTTATAAGGTAGGCAAAAGCGATTAAGAAGGCGATAAGCGAAGTATGCGAACTTTACGTAAGGCGATAGGTAGTAGAAGCTATCGCTACCCGTAATAGCCTTGATATAAGGCTAATTATTAATTTACTACTACGGTCGTAAGTATAAGTATAGCGCGAAAAGAAGGGCTAGACTAGACCGTTTACTTTAGTAGCTATAAACGGCAAAACCTATACTATCGATACGCTACGTAGTCTAAAGACCTTCCGGTCTATTATAGTTAAACTATACTATGAAGATCCTAATTAATTACTTAATTCTATCGCCGTGCTAGAAGAAGAAGAACCTGAAGCTAAGATACCGTAGTAGGAAGTAGTATGCGACGAAATTATCGTCGCCGGCGGAGGTAGTAAACCGGACGAACTGCAAGAGGCACCGGAGCTACCGAGAAGACGCCCGGGCAGACCCCGGAAGAGACTACTACTAATCGCCTACTTTATAAAGGAATTTAACAATAACCCGGATTATTAATAAATATTCCTATCGATTAAGGAGTAAGTAGATAAAGAATTAGCAATTAAACTATAACGAGAAGGTATTATTACTATACTAGGCGAACCGTTCGAATAGTTAACTAAATAAGAGATTAATAGCCTTATCGCTAGAAGAGTATTTAAATTTACTTAGTTTAATAAGAGAAGGTATTAGAACGTACGAATCTTCCGATCTCGTATCGTTAACGAAGTCAAGGGTAAAACAACCGAACCCTACGAGAAATCGAGACTTATAATATAGGGTTACGCCGACGATAGCAAGAAGGCTATATTAACCTAATCGCTAACGATTTAGTAGGCAAGTTAATAGCTAATTCTATTAATTACCTTGTTACTCCTACGAGAAGGGAAATAACTATAGCTTCGAGATATTATATAAGCCTACGTTTAATCCTCTATAAGGCTTAATCGTACTATTCTCGCCTACCTACCGAAGCAAATTCAAGACTAGTACCTAAAAGGGACTATTATAAAGGTTGTAAAGCCTCTATACGGAATCGCAGAAGCTAGAACCTACTAGTAGGCAACGTATTATAAGCATTATAGAGAGAATCTCTAGATAGTTACTTCTTCGTACGATCTATGCTTATTAATCTTATCTACCGAAAATCTATACTTTAGCTATATCGGTATGCAAACCGACGATACCCTCGGTTTATTAGACAAGGCGTTCTTATAATTAGAAGACGAATAGTTAGAAAAAGCAGCTTTTATAGCAAAAGCAAAGAATATCCTTATAATTAACAAACCCTTCTAATTTAATAGAGGGATAATCGCGCTGTCAACCGATAATTCGATTAATTTAAGGTAAAAGGGATAAGCTAAGAAGTTACGATATATTAAGACTACTAAACCTAACCTAAAATAGCAATATATCGAACAACGCGCTAGAGGGGCGTATATCGCGTTAATTTGCTAACCCGAGGCCTGTTTCGATTTATCTACTACTGCCTAATACTAAGACCCCTCGCTAGAAGCGATAAAAGTACTAAATCAACGGATTTAATAGTAAATAGAATCGCCTAACCGAGGAATAACGTTTATCCTACTCGACCTTATAATAGCTAAGCTATTCGTTTTCGTTAATAGGTCGTTTGCTAATAACTACGACCTTTCCTCCTAATTAGGGTTTCTAATCATCCTAGCTAACGATACTTCTTCTAATAGTAATAACGGAGAATTTACGATTTACGGTAACCTTGTTTATTATAGCTCTACGAAGAGTAAACAAGTTACCCGTAGCGTATTAGCGTTAGAGATCTATAAGATAGTCGCTAGCGTCGATATAGCCTACGCCTTTGCTATAACCCTAGCGATAATTACTAACTACCTTAACCTACTAACGATTTAGATAGTTGTCTATACTAATTCTTATTCGCTATACGAGTATCTCGTAAAGCTAGGCACTACTAAAGAAAAGCGACTTATAATCGATATCATAGCGTTAAGACAATCGTATAAAAGACGAGAACTATAAAAAATTCGTTAGATTAACGGCGAAGACAACCTTGCTAATACCCTCACGAAAAGCAAACCAAATCAAGCCCTCGAGAGATTCGTTAATAGCAACATAATAACGATATGTATAGAGGGATAGGTAACAAGACCGTAACTACGGGAGAAAGTAGGGATAGGAGGCCGAATTGACGAGGAGACGGAACTATATAGGGACAACGTATTCCAACCGCTTCAACACTATAAAAAGAGAGTTTCCAGTGTTGCGATAGTTGGAATACGGAGTCGTGTGGCACTTCCAGCCACACGCCCGCCAGGCTGAGAGGCCCAAGCCTCCCAGACCCACGTGACAGGCCAAGGGGGAATATCCCCACCTTCTAGTCAACAACACCACTTTCAACTATCATGAACCATCGATTAGAACCAATTTACTGTTATTTGTTATTGACGAACGGAATTCCGTTTCACCCCCTGTGAAACCTACAGTGGGAAAGTCAATATAGCTGCGGCTCGGAACTACCCTCTCAGGATCAAGTCTCTGACATTACAGGGAAGAGGCCCAATTATGTCAGTTTCGATGGGAAAACAGTCCTGCGAAACGGTCTTGAGTTGCGCAAAATTGATCGCAAGGCAATAAACAACAACATGACCCAATGGCTGGATCATACTATTGCTTGCAACTGCACCTTCGACAAAAATCACTGCCTCATCCCAGAAACTATGTTTTTTTCTTTTTCCTATTCACAGTCTCACCATTTCGTGCATAAAATATTTGTTGCATCAATGACCAAGAGACTCCCCGATGGTTTATCACTAGAAAGGCGACAAGCGACAATCTCGTTGCTTCTGTAAGTTCCGGTTTGTTACATTTACATAGTAATTACTTAGCGTGGACTGGGGCTACTTTCCCCTCCACTATGAGAAATAATTGTCCACCACTGGATGGTTTCATGACAATAACCTGGTACAACCTTCCCCCACTGTATTGGACATATTTGTACACCGTTAGGCTGTTTCATGGCTATGACCTGTATAGTGGAAATGGTGAGGTGGATGTGAACAATGAACCAGGCCGGCCATTCTCCCCTGCGAGGATTTTCAGTCACCCGTATAGGGGTGATTTCCAGTCCTTAAGTCAATATCCGCAATCTGCTATTTTGTATAAAGACCATGAATCTGCCAAGAGGTACGATGCCTCTTTCGTTCAAACTGTTCCATTTCCAAACTATCCGTCGATACATTCTTTTCTCAACTTTCGGACTTTAATTATTCCCCTTTGCTCCAGAACCCTGCCATTTTCGTTTTCGCCCCTTCAAGATGCGTGCCTTCGCTGCTACTGCGCTTGCTATTGCCGGCGCCAACATCGTCAATGCTCAAGACAAGGTCAGCTTTGGCCCAGCCTTCTCTCTTGGCCCGACCAAGAGCTGGATCCGAGAGGCCATCACCACTATTGTTCTGCCCCCTGCTCCTAGCCCCCAGATGGACCGTCTAGCGTTGTGGCCCGGTATGGGTACAAGCGGCGGCGACCTGATTCAGGCTCTTGCAGTCTCTTTCAGCGATCCTAGCGCGTAGGTAGCAAGCACATTTATCTCACATTGAAAATCTAGCTGACAATTCTTCTTAAGGAACTGTGGCGCCAAGGCCGGTCAGTGGTGCACCTGGGCCAGTACCCTCAAAGGTAAATTCTCAATGCAACTTTTGTATGTTTGCAAAGCTGTCTTTCTAACACATGGGTGTAGGCGAGCAGCTTGGAGGAAAGCAAGTTCCTGCTTCAGCGGGCGATAAGGTTACTATGCATTGTACGGCATATATCATATCATCATGATCACTTCCATAGTCGCATGCTGACAAGATGATGACAGACAAGTACAATGACAGTACCGGCAATTATGACCAGACCGTATCCCTTAATGGCCAGGTCATCTCGACCCTGTCAACTAGTTCGTGCCCTTGCTTCCATAACAAAGAACTGATGTACGTGGAACATAGCTAACAAGTCTCAGATGATGGACATGCTCAGGGTTGGGGTACCGCAGTCGAGTGCCAAGATGACGCCTGCAAAGGCACCGTTATTGGTCACAGTAAGTTCTTTGCACCCGGAAACCCTGAATGTAACATAGATATTTATTTTTGGTCTCACAGAGTACACTGATACCACAATTATTCTCGATGCTGCCGACAATTCTTTCATCGAAACTCTCGGTCTCAACGAAGTGGACTCCACAGGTCTCACCACCGCTGATAACGGCAAAACCTGGACGGTCAAGACCATCAACATCCATACCCATACTTTCAACTAAATGGTAATGCGTAATTCGTTTTTACGTGAGTACTTTGTGATGGGATTATCTCATAGTTAAAAAACGGCAACCTGTACGTACAGAGGCTTGTGGACCATGCCTCAATAGAATTTGTACGAGAGGTTTCCTGCTACGCTGAGTATACACAGGCTCTGGATTGATTGTATAAATTGATAAAGACTATAAAAGCAGGAAGTAATACTTGAATATCACCCAGATTTTGATTTGTCATGCCTGCCCCGGAATATTTTCTCATATTGAGAAAGGTCGCAGTTCTGAATATCCTCCTTTAAGACCCATTTACCAACCGCGTTCAACCTCAAGGACCGAGAATACTCCCAGAAGATAGTTCAGTAAGCTTATACCAAACCAATTCGTTGGCCAAATCCTGAAAATAAATGAATCTTCGGATACGCCCTGCTGGACTTGGCCCACAAAAGATCGAAATTTGTCTTTATAAGCTTCGAAAGCCTTGGTAAGATTACTTCGGTCGACATCTTGCCCACAATGCCTGGTATCTCGCCTGCCAAAACGTACGCACCGACAATAGCAGATGTACCCATGCCAGTCATCGGCGAAGGACAGTACGCTGCATCTCCAACGAGACTGACACTGCCTTTAAACCACGTGTCTATCTTGACAAAGCCGATACGCTCACAGTAGAAATCACTCGAATCCCATCATGCCCCGGATGGTGACTTTTGTCTGCCAACCAGCGTCCTGAAAGACTCTAGCCATTACATTCTCCATAGCTTGGCCGTCAATTCTTTAAGTCACTTGTTGGATTATATGAGTGACGAGAATACAAATGTCTACCTAGGTAGTCAGTGACGTTTTACTCCGAATTTTGGGGATGGAGTTTGAAATCAGATTTCTTTTTCATGCCGTAAAAAAAAGCTTGAGAGAGAATAAGAAGCAGAGTCTTTTGTTTCTAAAGGGAAATCTATTGGACAGGAAGAAGTCCGAATTCCAGTCTGCATCGAAACGCTCATCTGCAAACTCAAGACAGTTTGATAAAAAGACTGCATTATCTCCCCACGGAGACTTTACATTATTAACCTGGATCTGAAGGATTGATTGGCAGAAATCTAGGGTCCCATCAAGACGCTGAATCTCTACCACAGCAACGTCCTCGATACTGATCATACTCGTGTGACCTGCTCAAGCCCCGAGCTAGCCTTTGCCCGGAATATTTACAACTACACCACTTCACAACTAAGACAGAAAGCTGGCCCATTAAATCAAGGTGGAGATGGCTCAAAAACGTCCTCCAGCACATCAATGACGCCGCTCATCCAACTGTCCCAAGATTCAGGGTCTTCCTCGTCCTTGAAAAACTTTAGCCATCTCAACAGTATACGATACGACCCTTTCTTCAACCCCAATCCTTTGGAAGCTGAGATGTCAAATATGCTGTAAGACCAACTGGCCTGATAGTTGGTTCGCGGAAGCCACCCTTCCATGATCTCGATTGTGCCGAGGATGGGAACGCCTGCCACAGTACCGTTCTCCACCATTTTCGTCTCGGTAAGGTTGTGCAGTTTCACGCTCGGGTCAAACCCGTACCAGTTTGGTGTGAAGTTGGTGCTTGCGCGGACGATATCGAGACGGTACTTGCGTACTGGTTGAAGCGACGTGAAGTAGGCCACGGGATAATCGGGATACTGGAACTTGAAGGATCGGTAGTTACCAATATCAGCCTTATCGTTATTACCGAAGACTTGGGGGCCAGAAAGAGGGTCGCGCTTGGGAGTTAGGGCGTTGATTCTCTGCTCCTCGGTGATAGGTTTCAGCCCAATCACAGGTGTGCTGCTGTAATTGTAGGCGGGTCCCATGTATGGAATGGTGAAGCTCTCATTGATGGAGGATTTGACATCGATAAATCCAGAAAAGATGGGAACAGCATTGGCGTCCACATTTGTAGGGGGGCTAACTTGGAAAGTGATATTCTGCGAACCTCCCGGTTGTATCGTAACTCGCTCTCCCTCGGTAAAGGTAACTTTGGCTGAAAAGGGTTGAACGATAAAACCAACCTCGGCAGATCTGCCACCTTCTGCGAAAGAAACCGCACCGCTGGCGGGGACATTGGTGAGAGTATAGGTCACAGCACTGTCCGAAGGGTTGTCAATAGAGAAGGTGATTGCTTCAGCGTCCAATACTTTGAACTCTCCAGGTTGAATGACAGATTTGGAGAAAATGGCGTCGTAGGCTTGAACTAAACCAGCTCCCTGCTGAATGGTAGGTGAAATTATGTCGAAGTTAGCCATGCTCATTTGAGTAGCTGTTGTTTGCATGAGACTGAAAATCTCTTCCACTGTGTAAGAAGGATATTGGGACTTTATCAGAGCATAAACACCAGATATGTAAGGTGTTGCCATTGATGTCCCACTGATAATCCCAAAGCCGCCGCTCTTTTCCATGAGTGGGAAAGTAGCCAAGATCATGCCACCAGGAGCTGAAATATCAGGTTTGAAGGCAAAATCTGCGTTAGGACCTGTATGATGGGCAATCCTGTTAACGTGGGTGCGCATACGGGGTTCAGAAGAAGCTAGTCTTACCAATACTGCTAAAGTTGTTAGGGGAGCCTCCACCAGGCTGGTCCCCCAGAAGAGGTGTCTGAGACTGAACGAGTAATCTATAGGAACTAATACTCTTGTCGACTTTTGACAAGGTCTCATCAATGGTGCTACCCATGGGGAATACAGATCCATCAGCGGTTAGGGAAGGAGTCGGAACAGCATGGCCCCTGATGAAAACATCTTCGACAGTGCGATCCACGTAGGTGATAACCCGGGTGTAATTCGCAGCAGAGGCATGGCTCTGGACTTGGGTTGGTGAACATGAGTAGCCCCTTTTGACGGCGAGAATGTACTTGGAAATAGGCTCGGATAGGCTACTGGCAGGAGGATAATCGGAGGCCGAGCAGCCAAAATTGTAGCTGGTAGTATTCCCACCAGCCCATGCGACTGGATATTCTCCTTCGTGGAAAGGGTAGAGAGCACCGTAACGGAACTCAGCACCGTTGGAGTCGCGGATCGGATAGGTTGGGAACTTGGAGTTCTCTACCGAAGCAACGCCAAGGGCATCATCCGATCCGCCGGGCAGATTGATGGAAAACATTCCAAGGGTTCCGGAGTTTCCAGCAGCAGCAATAACAGCGACACCCTTTGCCTTCAAGGCAGCAGCTACTCCCGGGAGTGGTGAACGAGGATAGCCGGACCACATGCCATACTCTCCAATCGAGATGCTAACTACGTCTGCGCCTTCTTCAACCGACATCTGCATGGCGGCCATAATGGCGTCGTCCGACGCAAATCCGGAACAGCCGAACACACGGTACATACCTAGGGTTGCCCGAGGAGCAACTCCAATTAGCCCCGGAAACAACGAGGAGTTTGAAGACACATCCATGCCAATTATGCCGGCGACGTGCGTGCCGTGAAAGCCGTCGTAACAGCCAGGCCTCGGGTCAGAGCTTGGGTTAAGGATGAACCCAGAATCTCCACCATAATCATCCCCAACGAAATCATACCCAAACTCGACTTTGCAACCTTTGCCGAAACATCCACCCAAAGCCGGGTGCTTCCAGTCGATACCGGTGTCAATGATAGAAATACGCATGCCTTCACCCAAGATACCCTTGGCATGAACGCGGTCCACGCCCGTCATAGCATGTGGGTTGTTCCAGTCAACCTCTGATCTGGGTGAGAGGATGGATCCCGTTTGAGGTTTCCTCCCGTCGAAATTGCGATTTTTAGGTTGGAGTTCCGTGGATGGGACATCATTCTCGAAGGGTCGTTGGGGATGCGCAAGTTGTTCCACCGGTATGACATCCTTGACACCTGGGAGAGATCGCAGCTTCTCGGCGTCGTTATCGTCGGTGAGGAAGACCGATACTCCGTAGAATAAGCTTTTGTCGTTAAACTTGAATCGTACCTGCATTGATATGGAAACCTCGGCTGCTTGCTTTGAGAGGGTTTCGGGGCTGACACCAGACTTATCTCCTTCGACATCTTTTAAGAGTTCCACGAAGTAGGCCTTCGGTATTACTTGAGAGGTTACCAAAGTCAAGCAGTATGCCACTGCAATGGCGAAAGGTGTGAAAAGACGCATTACCCGAGTGTCTCTTCAGTAGAGGTTCCAGATCAATTCACAGTTTCTTTGGTTAGCTGTATCAAGGTGAAGCCTGTTAACTCCCACTTCTATGGCTCAACTCACCAGAACTCATAATCTGGGCTAAAGAAACCTGAATGATCTTCGTCCCCAAATAAGGGAGAGCCATTTGTGGGCCCATCTAGAAAGGCGGGGAACATCTCGTATCGGGAGATTCGCAACCCTTGCAGTCATATGCATACCCTGCTACAACCTCAGTAACTACTGGTCACTAACCAAATAGTGGATATAGCAGTGAGCATCAGTGCTACACAGTCTTGGTATTAATCTGTAGTTCAGTCAAAATAGACCTAGTGTCTTGTTTAATTTTCTCCGTAGATGCCGGAGGCAACTACATCGTGAAAGGAGTGTACAGATACAGTTCGCTGTATCGTTCATACTGAGGCTCAGAACAGGCAATTCTACCAGGTATGGAACTCTCATGTGAGATTTTTTCTTCGTTCAAACGTCTAGCACATCGTTAGTATGGCAAGGTCAACAAATAATCAAACACATACTACAGTTGCCTACACGTTCATAACCGAAGAATATATCAATTACAGGCAGTTCAACCTTCAGCCCAAGGGTTTAGATAAACTTCTTCCAGTGTAGCAATTGCTGAATTTCTAGTGACATGTGTTCCTTTCCCCCGAGGTGTACCAGGAGACAAATCCATCACGTTTCTCGATGTACAGGTCTTTGAAAGCCAAGTTTCGACGACGGCATGGAGCGGTAGCCGTTCCATATTGCTTACAGACCCGTCACTGTGGTCGACTTGCTTAGTATCAAAGTTTCTGCGCGTCTCTTCCCCTCTGTTATCAGATTGCTCTTCACATTGGTGGAACGTCTTTGCGGCTGATTCAGCAGCTATCGCATCCATCTGGCATGTCTCTGTCTGTTGGTAACCCGGATCCTCGTAGATACCACTGTCCACTTTTTGCAATGCTTGAGCTTCTGTGTCTGAAGACATAAAACTTGGGGAAGATTCAGGCTGGTTTGATGACATCACAGAGGCGGAATCCAAGCCCAGATCTTCATGTTCATAGTACGGGCACATATGCTCCATTCCCTCCCACATACTTTCAAAGTCGGTCCGCGAGTAACCCCGTCTGCAATACGAGGCATGCCGAGGGTGGTCTTGCAAAAACGCCTCCATTTCTGAATGATAACCACTGTACGCCAGTGCAAAATCCCACATGTCGCGTGCATAGCTACCTCTTCGGCGGTTTCGCACCGCAGTGTCCCAAATAGACCAACCGCCATCATCTCGAGAAGATATATCTGCACCGCTTTCGATAAGATACACCAGTGATCGTTGGTCGTTTTCAATGGAACCTCCGACAAGTCGTATGTGAGACACCAGATATTGTAAACTAGTACACCCACGGTCGTCTCGCGCATCAACTGTTGCACCGTGATCGATCAGAGTACGCATCGCGTCAAATTCTGAGTTCAAACAGCACTCATGTAGCATACTGCCACCTGTTTTTCTTACTTCGTTGATGTCGATGAAATCGCCTCTTAACTTAATCAAGAGGCCGAAGTAACTCATTACCGACTGACCGAGAAAGATTAGAGAATTTTCAGCTTCAACCATGCCAAACCGTTATTCAAGTAAAAGAGAGACGTACTCTACTGAATAAGATTGATCTCCATAGCGGACGGTTTCTCCTGAAAACTCCCTTCGATAAATGCGCCTCGATGGTTGGGTCTGCACCAGCCATGAGCAAATGCTCAAAGATGTAGCATGACGATGACCTAGTGGTGAGAAACAATGGCGTCCTGGATGTTCAGATTGTAAGAGCGCTTTGCAAGATATTTTCTAACTGGGGCCTTCAGCGACTTACGCTTGCGCCCTCGTGACCAAGTTCAAATCTGCTATATGGTCGCAATAGGCCACATCATCAACGTCCGCGCCATGTTGAACTAGAAAGCGACATATTTCAGAATTCTCAAAAGCATACTGCTGAGCCAATATATCAGTAACTTGGCACACAGATGTAGTATGCTGGGTCACTTGCATGCAACAAAGAGGCCCCCTTTTCGTCCCGGTCTTGCAATGAAGCCTCTCCTGATGCGAGTAGACGTAGAAACTCGCTCATCTCTCCTGACCTGACGCACTGAAAGACTCTGGAGTTTCCGGGTCTCATACGACTAACAGAAATAGTCGGTAGGAGCGAATGAAAACCGTGCGTCGTTTGAAATTGCTGGACCGATATTTTGATGACATACCGCCGGTTACAGTATCTCGACTTGAATGATACGCTTGCAGCGTTTTCTTGTCGCAGTCTCTCGCCACTCTCGGCCACACAGGTTCGCCATCGCGTTCGTGTCAGAATCGTCCATCGTCCGTGGTGGCTTTTGTATCCGTGTGACATTTGCACTATTCGGCTAACTTTTCCGCCGGCCATCATGAACATGCGCTGGTCTAACCATAATGAGAAAACGTTGGGTTCTGGGGTTTGAACATGATTTTTTTTACCTTTGTTAAATTTATTCAGAAACAGCTGTGTGGTAAATCCCAAAATCCCACGCACCCTCCGTATGTCCCTTGAAAGTCCTTTTGTATCCAAAACAGACTGAGTTGCATATCCTTGGAAATCACCATCTTTCTCCAAAATTTCTACAGAATCGAGATCCTTCACCATGGTTTCCAAATTATCTATCATGTCTTGTGCTTCCTCAAGCTCAACGATGCGACCATTTTCACCAGCGAGAGCGCACAATCTCCCGATGGCAAGCAAAACAGCGGAGCTTTCCTCGTTATCGGATTCCACGTCTTCGGTGCCTGTATTAGAGAGACAATTGGAATCCAGCCTCTGGCAGCTTGGGGATGTCTTAGCCTGTAGCTGAAACTTTGCGATCTCCCCCTCAAGCTTTATTAGTCTCTCGAGAACGTCAGCAAGCTGTTCTGAAGACAATAAATACATTTCCGTAGCTTTAGAATCTAGCAAATCGATAGTTTCCTGGAGTTTCTGGGTCTGGGAGGCAGCACGAAAAAGCTCCCGGTCTATGGATTTTGTATGCTTCCCACAGTCGGTATTTAGTGGAGATATGCTGTTGAAGTTTTCTTGTGTAAGCCGCCTGAGACACGCAAGTTAGCACGGAACATACCAATACCTCCTTGTAGCTCACAGATGAATCACGCTGATCTCCAAAGTGAGTGCATTAAGGTAGCCCGACATTACACTCAACATGTGCGCGACATCCTTTTCATTTATGGCTACTTTGAGCCTCTTCCACAAAATGCCATGCATCCTATCCCGCGGCTGAATAGAGAGTCTCCCAATTTTCGTTTCGAACCTCGAAACATCTTCGTTGCATTGACGAATAAGATGCACTAGGGATTGACTGGAACATGTGCTCCCATGTGAACCCCCCAGAGAAGAGGTATGCTCGTACGCCGCGCGGAGACTTGCAAGAACTCTTCCGAGATCTCGCAGCTTTTCGGGGCCATCCTTGATACTTGAAACGAATTGGCAGGATGTCTTTATGGACGCCAGTCCGAAGCCGATAAAGGCAACTAGACTTGCGCCGACTTCCATGGCTCTGCCAAAACACAGTAAGGTGACGCTGCAATGGGAGAAGAGTCAAAAAAGTAAGACTGCGGGGATGACGAGACTATAAATGAATGCGTTAAGTGGACGGGGTTGAGCTGGCGCTGCGCCTCCCTGTCAGCCCAACTGGTGTCAATCAACCCATCTTTTTGGTACCTTACCTCACTAACTTGCTGTGGCTGCATGTCACCGAAAACGCGGCAAGCGATGGCTGTCAATGTCTGTTGTGGAAGTGGTTTGGCTTGCTTGAAGCGTCCCTTGGCCGGAACGAAATTGCTCTTTATGTTCAACAACCATGACGGCCTGGGACACATTACAACATCACCTCCGCGCCAAAGTCAACTCAAAAGACACTAAGATTAAGTCTAATCATATTGAACCCGATGTTCAAAATAATGCACAGCCCGGCACCTCGGGCTTCACCTCCTTCCTTCCTCTACCTCAACCTCGTCGTCCCCCTCCAGCCAGATTTCATGGCCATCTCCCTCCCAAACAAACAAACTCGCAAACACGCCGAGCATCGCAACGCCAGCTAACCCCCACCATACCGCCCCGACAATCCCGTTCGCCAGTCCCTGGCCGTAGAGATACCCGCACAGTATGGGGCCGATTGTTCTTGCCGCACTGCTGACGCTCTGTCCCAGCCCGTGGATAGTACCCAGGACGCTGGGGTGGGGTGTGCAGTTGTTGATGAGGATAGTCTGTCCCGGCAGGGCGAACGTACGGCCGAGGACCTGGAAGAGGAGCACCCCGACGATGGCGAACCAGATTGCCGGCCCCCCCTTCGGTCCCGGCGGCGGAGCAGAGTCGGTGGTGGGTACGACGGACAAGTAGGGAACGAGGAAGTACGTTATGGGGAAGAAGTACAAGAACAACCGCCACGCTCTTACTGTGCCCAGGTGCGCGGAGAGGCGCGGGTACACGAAGAGTTGGAGGGTGATGCCGATGACGCCGAGGATGGCCATGGCCATACCCACGGATTTGGGGGCCATGCCAAGGCCGCCGGTGAACCGGAACGGTAGATGCGGAGGTTCGGTTGACGTGGGCGTCGAGAGGAAGACGAACCATAGCGCATTGAACGTGCCGACGTGGAAAGCCAGGAAGAAATGCGCGGAAAAGGTCATGATTACGTTCCTTGTGAAGAGGCGCCGGAAAGGTAGACGATGTCGGTACCTGGGCCTGGGTTTCGGTTTCGGCTGGGGAGCGTTCTCCGGAGACATCTCGACGTCGGTGCTGCTCGCGGAACTAGAATGGATCTGCGCGTACGAGGTATCGTCCAAACGAATGGCACCACGGCGGCCGTGGCGGAGTCTAGCCCACACACGGCGGATGGTGTTTGCGATGTTGGAGCCGATACGGGTTCCGAGGTCTGGACCCTCTTCGCGCAGTGCGTCAAGAGTCTCGTCGAGGCAGAGCCAGACGGAGAGGGCTGCGCACGACAGGAAGATGGCGCTGAGGATGTTGGGAGTCGCGTATGGGTACTTTTTGAAGAACTCCACGTCGCCGAAGAGCGAGGGGTAGCTGCCCGCTGGGTCGGAGAGGATACCTCCCAGGATGGGGCCGATGATGACGCCGATATTGAAGGTCATGGGCAAGAGGATAAAAGCTCGGGCCTGGTATTTCTTTTCACGGACGATTTCGCTTATCCTGTTATACTGTCAGTCTTTCTCTTCCCTATTCTCATACATGATCCATAGTATCAGAGAGAGAGAAATGAAGAAGCGAGGGGAGGGCATACATCGTCCTTAATACACCGACATTACCATTCGTCGCACCACCGATACACCGGAAAAACAGCGCCTGCGCGAAGCTCCTGGAGAAACCAAAGCCAATGCACGAGAGGCAAGTGCCGAGCAGGCCAATCATCAACACCGTCTTGCGGCCGAAGCGCTTCGAATCTGCAAGACGGCCCCACACCATGGCCGTAATGAATTGCGCCGCCGTGAAGGAGGCGTGCAAGACACCGGCCTGGCTTGAGATGACCGAGTCCGGAAGGCTTGGGTCAAACCATTTGAGTTGGTAAAACATGTATGACTGCAAACATGTCAGCAAACTCAGGTCCTTACACGAAACGTCTGTTCATCATCTCGTGGGGGCAGACGTTGAGCGAACGGAGAGCAACGGGAACAAGACGAACCTGAAGCGACGTCTGCACAAGAGGTTCACTCAACCTCGTGAGCGTAATGACCAATAACTGCTGCTTCTGCGGTAAATCGCGCCACGCCACGGGCTTGGGCTTCTCGGGCGGCTTGACCAACGGTTCCTGGCTCTGCGGCGCGGGGCTGGGGAGCGACTGGGTGTCGGCGGCTTCGACCTCTGGAATAGCGCCATCGGGGTGTGCTAACAAAGTCGCATCCTCTCCGGCGTCGTCGTCCGAGTCTGGGAGTTCGGTATCTGCTTCGTCTCCATCGCGATACGGATGTTGCACCGGGTCATCTTCCGTGCGCGACGGCATGCCTTATTCCCACTCCCGCGACGAAGGTCCGGGCTGTTTGGTGTCGTGGGAGGCTACGCTACGTCACTCGCAGAACGGGTGTGGTATTAAGAGCAAGTTGATGACGTCGACCGTAGATTCCTACAATCTGGAGATTGTACTATTTCAAAGGCGTACAAGATGGGGAAAGAAAAATAAATAAGAATGAGAAAAAAACCGTTAGGTATATTTTTACCAAAAAGAGAAAATGCGACGTCTGAAATGCTTTCCTTGTCGGTAAAACCCCGACGGACGGGACGGGCTGCAGCCGGATGGGGGTAGTGGAGGCCAACCACCATCTTCATAAATCAAACGAAACGGAAAACACTTGCCGCCGCCTACTGTAGTGCAAGGGGGAGGCATGCAACAAGAGTCAGCAGCAGTTTCCCCGAACGAGCAATTTTCTTAACGCCGAGCTAGAAGAGTTCGCAAACCCGTTTTCTCGGTGCTATCCTATTCTTCCCCTCTCTCTTTCTCTCTCACATTTTTTCTGTATTCCCCCTGGTAGGTACGATGCCGAAGTTCCAGACCGCCTGACGTAGGTACCCGCATAGTGAAGAAGAAAAACAGTGGCGACTCATGTCTAATCGGCCGATTGCGGCGCCGGGGGAAGCGGACGGTGCCCGTTCCTGGTCTCTCCTCACTTGAGGTCGGGAATTTTGGGGACTACTACGGCCCGTTTAGGTTGACTGTTGCGGATCCTCCCCCCCGAGTCCTTCCGACCGACCGACCGCGAAACCGGGACCGTTGGTCTCGATTGATTATTATACTATGAACCCCATGGCACACAGATGTAATTCACTCCTTGCATGGCGAGGAGCGACATCTGCGATGCACATCATCCATTTATTGCCAAATCTGACTGAAAAGAGACCCACAACCCGCCAAACGCTTAAATGTCGCAATCGGCCGATTCGGTGCCGAACACCGTTATCGCTTGTGCGGCATTGCGCTGTAACACAGAGCTAGGATCTAGATCGTTCATAGTCACACACGCCGCTTGCCAATTTGATGAGTTGTCAATCTGACGGTCGAGTCCTCATTGGGAATGTTATTTTTTTGGCGCGAAGCCACCCAGGTTCCGGTACGAATACATTACATGTACAAATCGCTTTAGCTTAATCATACATCAAGAGAGCAAAATTCCAGGCTGTTACCGGTGGCCGTTCATTCAGTTTCGTTTCCCTTCCTCGCAACGCCAATAGTGCAAAACATCACCACATCAACAGACTTGATGGTCTGATTTAGACCATCTCCCGGGGTTGATGCGCCGAACCAAGGTCGTTGTTCCGGTAGTCACGGCTGCCGCTCCGCTCCTTAGTTGGCTGCGCCGGATTCGCCACCATGCTCGTCAACCCAATGTTTTGTTGAGAGGGAGGTTGGTACGCAGGCGGAGCGGCCGCGTACGAATAGCCGCCCGCTGTAGGAGCCTGGCGCCACGGCTCCGGGTTGTATCCACCGGGTTGGGCTCCGAACTTAGTGGGGCCCCGACGGCGGAGGAACGACTTGCCAAAGGTGAAGAACAACGAGACTGCCAGAAGTAGGATGATGAGGCCGGCAAGGAAGTAGGTGAACTTGCGGTTCAGGGCGAAGTTGAAGCCACTGCGAAATTTGTTAGTTAACAGATAGCAGGGACTAACAGTGCACGAACGTACAGGAAGGCGTTGAATGTGCCGAGGAAAATGACGATGCGGCCGAGCCACACGTGGACCGGCTTGTAGGGTGTTGGCTGTCCCGTCTTCTTGAACTTGGTGTGGTGCAGGAAGCCGATGGCAAACTGTATCATGCAAAAGGCGACAACAATGAAGCCGAGGATCTGGTGGGCAGAGTTGAATCCGCGGGACTAGCCTTCGTTAGTACGGTTGCCATCTCCTCCGGAAATCCACGACTTACACGGCTGTACCAGAAGCTGGTCAGGACACCTAGAATAAAGCCAACGATGACGATGAGCAGAGCAACGCCCTGGTTAAGGGCGTGCCAGCGCACCATGTCACCAAACCGGAGAAGCAGTGCGCCAAGAGGCATGAGGAAGACCAGCGAGCCGATCATTAGTACCGCGTGGAAGATGGACTTGTAATCGCGGCGTCCGTCGTTAGCGGAGACCTGCGCCGTTCCCTCGTTTGCCGAGTCATCTTTGAGCACGGGCGCATCACCAGGGCCAATTGTGCGCTTCATATTAATGGTGAACCGCCCAAACTCCTCGTGATATCTGACCGACGCATCGATTTTGCTGGAGAAAAAGCCTCCTTTGGGACCGACGGCATAAATGGCTCTCTGTGACTCGCTAGACACGTCGACATATCCGCCCGGCCAATTTCTGCAGTGGGCGGTGCACCTCGCGCTGAAGTACATGGAGCCATTAAAGACACCGGTGCCGGGCAGGACCTCCCACTTGACATGGTCGTAATACGTCGGCTCGTAGTTGCCGTAGGCCACACGGGGCGAGAATGTGACGTTGTTGCCCGTCGAGTCGCGGTAGATCATCAGGATCAAACTTCCGGCCATCTGGGCCTGACCGATACCGATGGCAGCCCACTGGCGGTCGAGCGGGGCGCGAATCGTGATAAAGACATCCTCGCCGCTGTTTTCTGGAACTGTAAAGCCGAAAGCGACGTTGTTTTCGGGGGCAACGAAGGTCGATTGTCCAAGGTCGGACTTTTCTGCAGCGAATGTGGGTGCAGCGAATGTAGCTATGAGACAGGGAATATTGTCAGCGGGGGGAAGCTTTCAATGACGAACATGTTCCTTCGCCATGGGTTTGCGTGGAGCTGTCGGCTGTACCTCTCCAGGAAACGTGAAGGAGAGGCCAAAGGCCCATTGTAGCAAGACGGGGATAGAACCCACGTCACAGGCGAAATCGCCTATCAGGGATGGCAGAAACAAGCAGTTGGACCACTAACCTGCAGCAAGGACAGCGCGCGCGACTCTGGAGAACAGCATCGTCGCGCGAAATTGCGTCGTCCAAACGGCGTTCGGGGTTTCAACGTCGTTGGTGTTGACTGAGGATGGCAAAAAAAGAAAGGGAGGGAGAAAGGAGGGGGAAGATAGGGAAAGTAACGTGATGGACCAGAGAGGGCAAGAAAAAGAAGGGAAGAAGAAAAAAAAGGCAGAAACGCAAATTACTCCCCCATTGAGCGCTTCAGAACGGACGACGTGTGTGCCTGTAAAGAGAAGCAGGTCTTGGCAGCCCAAGACAGCTGAGGGTACCCTCCATTTCCCTACGTCCCTCTTTGACTGGCTGTGTACCTCTCTGCCAGCCAAAAAATGACCGTCTTCGCCCGCTGGCAATTACGATTGTACTTCATGCTTGATTCACATTGTAATTTCGAGACCAGCACAACCCCAGCAGAGTCTGGGCAGATCAGGCACGCTATACTACGACGTACATACTATGTAGTAGGAGCAACCACCAACAAGGAAGGTTGGCAGATGGTGGCCCTGCTCCCCAGGGGCCGCTAGTGAAAAGCGGGTGCTGATTCATCTGCCTTTGGCCAATGGGAGGATCCGCTTACGATTTGGTCTCCTCTCACAGCGCTACCATCCCTTGCTCTGGGGGATGGCCTCCACCGCCCGTTGCTTTTTTCAGACTTTTAGCTTTTTGGGGCCCAGCAGGTACATACCCGCACCCGCAGCTACCATGTTGATTGAGCATGTGTCGAGAATAGAGCAGAGGCTTGAAGACCACACCCATATTTCCTCCTTGTCTTCCCGCTTTCGTCATTCCTCCTGCTTGTCGGAGAATATGTGTTGCGGACAATAAAAGCAAACATCGCACCGTCATTCGATCTATTCTAAGTACGGAGTACGGACACAAATGCGATTGACAGTTCCCCCCCCCCCTGGTACGAGATGCTCTCCAGGGTTTTCCAGCATTTTGCTCCAGAGAGAAAGATTACGATGAGCCAAGCTTTACGCGTCCTCTTCGTCCATCATTACTCAGCATGCTGGGACGGAATATCAAGCCAGAGCTTTCTCATTGGGACCTACATGCCTACATTGCATGGCAACTGACATTAGCTGACATTGAACCGACAGCCACCATGGCCAACAGTGTGTCTGCCTATCCAAGAGTCATGGTCGTTGTCGCATCCTGATTGGTTGCGGCCCATCCATGTCCAACGACCGTGCGATCATCTGTTGGTGTGTCTCTTCAGATGTATCCCAGCCCAGACCCTACGGTGACTGGCCTGTCATTCATTCACAGAGTCGTCATTGAAGTGTGTTCCAGCTTGTGACAAGGTTTCGTATGTTTGGAGGTTGCAACCAACAGAGCGTTTGCGTGGCCACTCACTCTTCGATACTAGCATCAACGTTACGAGGTGGGCAAACTCTACGGCATGTGAGACAATGGCGGTAATGACTGGCTATATTTATTCTGTTTATCGCATACTGTGATTTCGATGCAAGTCCTAAATGATTGGTCAAGGTCTTGTACGCATCGACCTCAAAAGACAAAAAAAGGCAAAAAAACAACAACCAAAAAGGGTTGCGGGCCACGTGGCACGGCAAGAACGGAACAGATTGACGGCCACTTATCCATGGCAATGCAGGGCGGCTCGTTTAGTACAACTTGTGCTCCAGCGTCATGTCGGATTCAGGCTCCAGACCGACGCAGGCACGAAAGATGTTTGTAAGCGCAGCACGCTGCTTGCTCAGTGCGTTGATGACAGGTGCGCCAGGGGGCGTCATGGGTGCCTTGAGCATGTAGCTCAGGATGCTGAGCACGCTGTGGAAGCCCTTGAAGTCCTTGGTCGCAGCACCGTCCGAAGATACCGCCTTCCACTGGATGCGAGTCATCATCTCGGCCACGAGCACGAGGTCGATGATGAGCGGCGACGCCAGCAGGGAGTCCTCGCAGACGTTGAACATGGAGATGGTCTGGTGGCCACCCATGAAGATCTCGGCGTAGTACTCATCCAGCGCACGCTTGTTGTCGCCCACGGCGGGCATGTACTTGATGACGACCGTGTGGTCCGGGTGCTCACCCTCCTTGTACAGCACCGTGTTGGCCTCGACCATGTCGTCGACCACGTTAGACTTTGAGATCTCCTTGGATCGGAACTGCTTGTGCGAGCTGAGGTTTTTGCCGTCGTTGTTGCCGAGGTGGTTGTAACTCGCGATCGAGGTGAGCTTGATACCAGCGTTGATCAGGAAGTCGACGAGCGCGGACTTCATCTTGGTCTGGCCCGACTTGAAGTCGTCGCCACCGATGAATGCGCCGTGCTTCTCGGCCAGCTCAATGGCACCGGGCACAAAGGTGTTTTGCGGGGAGCCGTTGATGAAGGGGACACCCTCCAAGGTACAGGCCACGGAGAAGACGGTGGAGGGGGAGACCTCCTCGTGACCGTTCTCGATGGCCTTCAGCAGGTTGTCGGCTGTGTCGTTGACACCCGGGATGATATCGGCATAACGCTCGGTGTTGGCAGTCCACTGGACGATAACCTTGTCAAGGCCGTTGGCCTCCTTGAAGTCGCTTTAATCAAATTAGCACCACCTCATACTCCTCCGCTAAGCCCACATGTGAAAACTTACCGGATATCCTTGCGAATCTGTTCAACGTGAGCGATGCAGGCCTTGGTTCCGGGCAGCACATTGTCAGCTCTATCCTCCTGGTTGGCGGCAATAAAGTCGGGATAGTAAATGCTTGGCAGGGGAACCATCTCGGCCATCTCCTTCTTGACCTGCATCTTCAGGGTCGGCTCCAGCACCTGGGCGCGGTCCATGGCCTGAGCAAGGTTCATTCCACTGATGTCCCAGCCGCCGATGGCAAGGTCGTTGGGGTGGACCATGGGCAGCAGGTCGTGGAAGGGGATGTTGATGTCCTTGGCCGTCTCGGCATCGGTGCCCAGCTTGACGGTCGATCCCATGATGACGGAACCGTAGTAATTGGCGGCGCGGGGTCCCTCACGGGTGTCCCAGACGAGACCACGGCGGTTGGCGAGGATACCGGCGGTGACAGTGGTGCCATTGTTGCCGCCCCAGCCGACGAGCATCATGCCGACCTTGGGGACCTTGCGGTCGGTCTTGAACTCGTAAAGGGTCTCGGAGGGGGTGGCGACGTATTTACCGGAGGCATCCTTGGTGACCTTGGTAGTGCGGTAGGTGTACTTGGACAGGATCTCGTTGTCGGTGTAGACGACGTTGGAGGAGTTGACGGTGAAGAGGTCTCGGTGTTGAGTGTTGGCGGCGAGGCCGTTGGCGGGGGAAAGGGGTCCATCTCCGTGCGCGGAGCCCGAGTCTACCTCTGCATGGGGAGCCATGGTGACAGAGGTAAAAAAAAAAAAAGGAAGGGGTGGGTTTAAGTTGTTCTGGTTCAGGCGAATTGGGCTAGCTTTTTTTGGTGATTGGGACCTTTAGAGATCAAAGGTCGAGTCCGCTGAAGCCCCAGGGGCGGCAGAGCAGCGGGCTCCTGCGTACGGGTGATGGACCCTGGAGGCATCGTCAGCAACTGTCCTTGGCCATTGGCGTAAGAGGATGTGAGGGAACTTACGAGTTGAGGAGATTGGAAAACGTCTTGACGACGGGGTGATCGCGACTCGTAAGCGCGATCAGAAAATGAACAAGGGTTTTAGGGTTAAGGGTGTTTTGTTGTTGCGGGAGAGAGTGTGTGCGTTATCCTCGATGCTGAAAGTCTGAATTCGGGATGAAGAACAAGAAGAAGAAGAGGAAGAGGGAAACAGAAAGGGTGGCAAGGAGGGTTGCGGGATGGAAGCGGGTTCAAATAGTCATGTCAGTTCAACCGGCGCCGTCCGGGAAGCCGGGGACTAGGCGAAGCCGTGCTCTCTTCCAAGAAGCCATGGAGCTAACGACACGTCAGGCGTTATTTGGTCCAGTCTTTGTCAAGCGTCGAGCGGTGAGGCGTCTGCGCGCTTTCATTCAAAATGATGTGGAGCCTCGCTCCTGGGATGCGACAGATAACGCGAATTTGAGGGCTTGGCTCTTGCCGTGCAATGGGACGGGTTTGAATGGTTGGATGAACCGGAGGGACACGGTACAAAGTGGGCGATGGGAAAGGAAAGGTAATTTGCATTGCGCGGGACAACCGGTCTTCGGGAGCACAAGGGACGAGCAGCAAGTGGCAGTAGTAGCAGTATGTAGGTACCCCCAATTTAATGTACGCGTACCCAGGATTGGGAGAGGTACTTTTGAGCAGTTTTGTCAGGATTAGCTTGGATAAGGAAAGCGTCATCTGCAGTCAGAAAGAGACTTGCAGATATTGTCTGTGGTTTCTAATTGAGGTCTCGTGCCGTTTGCTATGTCGAAACCTAAGATTTGCACGGATAAGGCATAGATGAGCTGTGCGCGTTATCTACGTAGTTATCTGTTGTTGAATACAGTGCCCTTTTTTTTTTTGTTTTTTTCCTTCTTCCGACGAACATGGCATGGTTTTCACATGCCGTCGTGCCTGACCAGACAGTGACCTACTTATCTTAGTTATCTCAGCCACCTAGTCTAGAAAGCTCTCACACGACACACACTAGTTAGCTGCCTCTATCCCACTTTGTCTCTATCTGCAGAATAACCATGTCAATCCAACTTTCGCGTGATCTTGGCTGGGGTTCTTCTTTAGAATGTAGCTGTTTTCGCAGAGTAATTTGCAGTTCTCAACAAGTCTCTACTTTTCAGCTCGTCAAATCGGCAAGCTTTGGCGGAGTATCCATACTGGGGGATGCAGCTGGCACCGGCGTGGTGGGATGGCGGGGCCGAAGCTATTGCACAGGCACAGGCACCGTTAACCCACTGCAGCCAGGCGGTTGGGGGAAAATGGAGTGATTAGGTCATTGGCGTGAACAGGGGGGGAGGGGGAGGGGCACTGAACCGACCTGTCCGACCTGGGAAGGAGGGGTCAAGTTGCTGGGCCGCATGATTGGGCCCCCGTTCCCCGGCGACGTCGGAGCGGATTCTTCGGTTGGTTGTGGGGCCCTTCGCTAAAGTGCTGCTGCTGTTGTCACTGGCAATAGCGCTTCTGTGTCGCTTACCGTCCCTGAGGAACCCTGAGGGACTGGCGGTTTCTAGGTTGATGAGTATATTTGCTCTCCCGGGCCATTCCCTCCTGGGCGTATTATGGACTCAATACCTGGCATGGAGAATGTTGGGGGCGGAAAGGAAACGACCACAATGAACCAACCCTCCACTGTGTAGTAAGTTTCAATTGACTTCCAACCCGCCCCGAGAACTCCTTGCCCTTCTCATCACGATTCCGCCAGGCTCTTTTCCTGCATAGTTCCCTGTCCTTTAGTGCATCAACCTGCATCTCAATAACACGAGGGATACTAGCAGACAGGCACAACAAACAAAAAACAAACCCCACTCCGTTCTTCAACTACACAGGTTGAACGCCGTAACGAAAATAGAAGAAGAAAAAAAAAAATAACGCGAACCCTTGAATCCCGTCTGCAGGAGTTGTGCATAACCAAGCGTGATTTCCGCCGCAGGAATTCAATCCCTCCCGTATTCACAATCCCGGAAAACGGCTGGTCTAGCGGGCTTGGGCAAACTCGCGCTGACCGCTAGTCTTCCCAAACCCCAAAAGGCACCATCTACATTGCACCAGTGCCCCTTCGAATCGAACGAGGTTCTGGGTCATCCTTGCCTTATATGGGCAGGAGGGACATTGCGAGGGGGATATTGAACTGCAGAACCGCGGTAAGCTCGGGGGGGCTTCCAGCTGTAATCTCCTGCTGCCAACCTCGGGCTTTCCTGACTGTGGAGGTCTACCTAGCACAAGCCACCACTGCGATACAACCGACCGGAATGTCGGGTCCTCTCGCCGACCCGTTCGCCGACTGAAATTTCCGGTCTTGCGAGTCCGCTGGCTCGAGGATACGCCCGAGGGCCGAGTACCGCCGGGACACTTGCCCGCTCGTCGTCCCGCTGAGATCTCTCCCCGCCCACCATTCGTTTCAATCGTTCCGCGGAATTCCCCCCTCTTTGAGAGAGGGAGTCCGGTGATGCAGCGCGTATCCAGACAAAACAATGATTCTTGGCAGTAAAGAAACAACAGCAGGACTGGACCGGGACCAAGCATTTGGAATCATCAAAAACGGCCTGGAAAGCGAATAAACGCCAAGAAACGAAACCAATGATGCCGAAAACCTTTCTTCCCCCAACGGCTTTTCCATGGAGACCGCCATCTCCGCTGACTTCGTACAACCCTTCCCCTCAACAGACGGTCCCCCCCTTTCTAGAAGCGGGAAAACACAGTTGCGGGTGTCCATTTTTAAGCTTTCTTTCGTGCTGAGATGTGCATGACGGGGATGTCTCCTCCTTGTGCAACAGGAATAGGAAGTGAGGCGGCGGCGGCCACGGCCGTGGGGGTGTTCACGACTGGCTGGCACACCCACCCAGCCAGCCGCGGAAATCTTATATTATGTGATTTTTGCAAAAAGAAAAAGTCAACCACACAACTTTCTTTTCCCCGATTACGAATCCCGTACCGTCGGGACGGTGCGGCTGATTCCTCAACTGTCCGAGGGGAAACACATGTTTCTGACGCTGCGTCAAATCATCAGCTGGCCGTGGCGAGGAACTTTGGACGACGGAATGTCGGCGAGTGCTCCAACGGTTCTTTTTTTTTTTTTTTTTTTTTTCCCGTGGTTCGGGATCCCGCCAAGTGGTTCTGGTTACCTGGTGTCACCTTTTTGCACAGGTACTTCGCGTCGTGGATCTCCTTTGGTGGGAGTTTTGTTGCTGTTTCGGCCGGCGTGAACACCCAAGTTTGAAGAAAAAAAGACAAGTGCTCCACGACAGCTGATTAAGACACTGGAAAACTCCCCGGTCTACGTAGTCGATACCGTCCGTAAAATTTCTGGCGATCCTCCGCGTTTCATCCCAATACCAGGGCCCCCCCTTTTTCAAAAACGCACATCTTTCCACATTCACAAGTCAAGCATCATCTCATGTTTCTTACAGGGATGGGCTGAGTTACGGGAAGCTCGTCCACTGCGAGAAAGTGAACAAACGCCAAGAAGCAAACAATCACAGGGCAAAATTCACGAGCAGAACAAGACAGAGAGAGAGAGAGAGAGAGAATTTTCAAGAACCATAAGCATCGTTATTGTCATCAACCACAAGTCTAAGTAGCAGGATTATACACAAATGACCCCAAAGTATCCACAGGATATCACTGAAAGGATTGGTAAAAACGATACACCATGAGAAGGAAAAAAGTGACCATAGTATGCCGCTTATTCCCCTGTGCTGTATCCCCCCCGGGCCCGGTTCGCCATGCGGTGCCCCAGGCACGCGTGCGCGAAGACCGGCAAAAAAAGCAACAGCAAATTATAGAAGGGGCCCTCCTAGCTCCTTAGGGATGTGCTGTAACTGACTCCCCGATGCCGCTGAAAAGTGCGAGACCACTTCTTTAGGCCTGGAAAGAGCGAGCGGCGTTGCGCTTGCGGAGGTTGAACTCGACGGCGCGCTTGCGGGCAGTGGCGGACTGAGTGAAGGCGACCGAGCCGCCAAAGGGGCCAGCCAGGGCAGCGTTGCGCAGGCGAGCAACGCAGACGTTGCTGGCACCGCCGACGTTGGCGTCACAGGTCATGCCAGCGGGCATCTTGATGGCGACGGGGAAGTCCATGGTGGAGGCACCAGAGAGACCACCGATACCAATGCCGGGGACGTTCTGGGTGACCTCGGCCTTCTTGAAGGCAGAAGTGTCAGTACCGCCAGAGGTGCCGTCGACCTCAGCAGTGAGAGGGCCAGCGCCGTCCTGGTTGACCTGGTGGTAGGTCATCTTGAGGGTGCCGTCGTCGGAGGTGGTGGGCATGCCAGCGGAGGCAGCCATACCAGTGGCGGCCTTGACGGAGGTCTCGGCGGTGCCCTTGGGGGTCTTGGTGCCCTTGCCGGACTGGCGAGAGACAAGACTGCGGCGCGCCATGCTGGCTTCGTGGATCTCGCGGGCCTGCTTGACAGCAGTGGTGTTGCCACCGGCGCCGTCCATGAACATCTGAACCATGGAAGCGGCATCGACAGGGCCGCCGCCCTGTGTGCGGCCAAGGGCGGAGGCTCTGGCGGTGCCCATCTCACGGTCGCGCATGATGGCAGTATCGGCCTCAGAGCCGCAGCGAGGGGAGGCGCAGTCACGAGGAGTGCCATCAATCACTATTCATGTTAGTTGGAGGTGATTCCTGAGCTGGACAAGGTGGTTGTTGTCTGAGGCTTACAAGAAAGACCGGGCAGGTTGACGCCGTTGGCACCCTGGACACCGTCGACGACACCATGGCCGAAGACGTTGGTGGCAGCGAAGGCAGCAAGGAGAATGGTAGAGGCGTACTTCATTTTGGCGGTTTGAAAGATTGGTGAAAGTTAAATCTGAATAAGAATTTGTAAGTTATTAACTGTAACAGGCGATCTAGGAGCTCCGGGCTCTTGTTGGAAAGAAAGGCAGATGAAAGAAGGCTGAGTAGTTGATGAGATGCTGATGAGAGAGAGTAAAATCATGAAAGTTCGACCGGACATGCGAATGATTCTTATACAAGATCTTGGCAGACTGGATGACAGCTCTTGGGCAGGCTTGGAAGACAGTTGATGGGGCTTGGCAAACACGGGCCCAGTTCGTACAGCCAGGGATTACGGCCACAAGATCCTTCAGTGGTGAAGCAACTCGCCGCTGACTCCTCACGAAAGATCAGTTGAGGCATTGATCTGACGACTGGACGACACAGGCTGTGCTCTCTAGTGACGACAAGCCTTCCAAAGATGCGATTGGCTTGAAAGCCGTTTCGAGGGGCCGGCGGGCCCTGGTCATGGCCAGGGGAGAAGAAACACCAGGCTGAGAGTAAGACCGACTGCAGTTTAGCCGGCAAGATCGGCCAAGACGGGTTTACGCATGACAAGCCGTTGGGGATCTGAGCTCCGATAGGTAGATCTCGAAATCAAGGCTGTGGGGGAGCGACGAGGCTCTCAGGAGTAAGCCTAAACGCTTCTCCACAAGTGGTTTGGGGCTCGGCGTCGACGAGGGTATAGAGGTCGCTGGGCAGGGTTTAGGGACGGGAGCGTTCCTGGGAATAACAGGGAGAATCCCACATTCCCGAATAAAGAATTTGAGAACGACGCCAGGATGGTGTCGATCCTAAAACGCGAGGTGTGTGAGGATGTTGACCCAGGGTCAACGAGCTTGGGCCAGTTGCCTAGCTGCTGGAAGATTGAGACGGGGCAAAAACATTGTGGATTTGCAAGTGTCTCCGTCGTAACCAGGAGACTCTGGGAAGCAAGTGGGCGTGCCCTTGAGGTCTCCATAGCCATGTGCGGGAGAGCGGCGACACTATGCCCTCTTTGGCAATGGCCCCGGTTCGCTTCAGACAGTTCAACATACCACAGTCGGGTTGAAGTTAGAGGCCGAGGACATGCCAGGTAGAATGGGAGAGAAGCAGTGAGTCTAACGGGCCTCTGCGCGGTTTCGCCTTTCGGAAAGAAAACGGCAAAGGCTTGAATTATGGTCCTTTCTCCATAACAGTATGGAGCCTAGCGGTTAGACAATGACAAAACAGAAGCCCAGAAGGCCCATCTCTGAAGTCCAGCGTGGCAGAGAAGGTATACACGACGTGACGTTGCCAGTTGGTGTTGACGTGCCTTGGCAGAAGTACCATGGCGGGATGAAAGCTCGGCAATGACATGCCGACTCTACCTCAAAGCGTTGTGACAAGCCTTTCGACGACCGTTGACAGTGCTTGGCACACTTCTGGGCAACCCATTCGGGAGTCGGCGGTATTCCACGTTTCGTCATTGAGCGCACGGTTGTTTCCTACCAGCGGTTAAGCCGAAAAGAAGAAATACGGCAAAGTGGGCGGTTGCAGTGAATCTGCCGTTGTTTCCATAGGGGCAAGCAAGCATAACCAAATCTGGCTGAAGTCGATCGTAGGCCATGCCCGCTACCTTGCTCCGCTCCCGACACATATCTGAAAAATCTGCCCTCGATGGGTCACATTCTAAATTGTTTAGTTTGGCGATCCTGTAATCCCGACCTGGTCATAGTGTATGGGCGCTTGCTGTCTCATGAATTGTCATTATTGTATGCTCCTCACAGATTCATGCCACGCCGTGTTGTCCTCTCAACCCCGACAACATCGCAGTCTCGGACTCGGTGTAAACCAGTCATTAGATGCCTGCAGGTTTACTAAGTTCTATGAAAGCTCCTTTTCAGAGCGAACACGAGCGATGCGGCCATAACGGCAGCTTCGGAACGGACTTCGCCACAAGTTTCTCCACCTGATTAGTGCGGCCAGTGCGTGACTCGAGCCGTGATGCGCGGGAACACGAGTGAGGATTTCGAGTCAAGCAATGTAAACCTAGCAGTTTGAAGTGTCGCAGGTGGATTTGGAAGAACTTTTATTCACGAGGGCCGACCAACCAGCCGTTCCAAGTTCTAGCAGGCCATAGGATAAGCACGCATATTTACCACAAGGTTTCTACACTTCTACACTTCAGCAACCTGGTGCTGAAGAGGTAGGCAAACTGTATGCAGTACACTTCATTTATGGTGAGTTGGGTCTAAATGATGAGCCCCTTCCGTAAAACGTGAGACGGTAGGTGCGTATTCAACCACTAGCTGGTTTAGCTTGTATCTTCTTCTAGCGATCCGAGGTTACTCGTCGAGCGCAGCGAGGTGCATCGTCCGAAGACGTCGGCTGCTGCATAAGTGCATTCAACTTGCCAGAATGGGACGGTTGGGCTGTGTTCAACAGATGACGGGCGCTTGCTGTGTACTTGCGACGAGCATCTAACAAAAGGTGTGTGCTCGCGGGATGGCCTGTATGATTTGCAGATAAGATTGTCGTAAAGACGACGATATCGATATAGCTATAAGGTTTATCACAAAGGAGGAGGCCTGTACTAAAATATTATAACTCAACCGACATATTGGCGCGTGCGTGCATTAGTTATTGAACGGAAGCTGGAGACGATCTCGATGGGTCGGATTTCAGTAGCTTGACTCCTGTCCCTTAAAGCCAAGTTCTGACAATTACAAACAACTTCAAATGTCTGGAAAATTGGAGGAACGTAAATAGTTCTTGGAAGTGCTGATGAGGAGAGTTCGAAATGTGGTCGAAACTCCATCGGCTGAGTTCTAGATGTAGGCTTTACTAGATTCATGTCGTTGTTAGACGATAGACAGAGAATAAGGGTTGCACGCACCTCTCGGAGCGGCACTAGACCAAGACAACCTTCAAAAGATGCTTAAGCAGAGGCTAGCATCGTAGCGGCTGCCTTGCGTCGCAGTTGACTCTTGTTGCATATTTAAATGTAAGACTCTGGTCCCTTGATGTTGTTGAATGAAGACAAAGGCATTTCCCAAGAGGGCAGGAGAACATGGGTCCATCTGCAGAGCTGCAGGTGGAGCAATCAAGCGACCTCAGGCACCAGACCAATAAGGCCGTGCGGCCCCTTGCCAGCTGCCCCTCTCACTTTCCTCCCCTGAGCGGCTCCCGTTACTAGCCGCTCTAGCGCCATTTCCACTCCTCCTTCCAGCGCCCCTGGCTCCGGTGACCATCACCACGTGTGGATGCTTTCTAGACCGTCATTCGTCGACGTTCCTGTTTCACTTAACGACCATGGCGACCACCACTTTTGCCATCTTTTCCTTGGAGCCAACGTACTACCACTCAGATCAGTGCCTTCTGACAACCACGTCTTTAGTGTCTTCGGTCGCAACAAGCCGGTATTTGCATGCGCGATGAGTGTATCTTTCGGACATGCAGGCGACCAATGACGCGGGCGAAAGGGACACGGGCATATGCCACGCTCAACATCAACCAGACGAAGAAACACCTGGTTTCTTTCTCTCCTTATCCTCTGCCCGAAGAGGAGTGTTTCGCCGCTATCCAATGCGTGAGTGAGTAGCCATGCATCTTAGAGTTGCAGTTATGAATGGATGTAGCAAGCTATCCCGTCTTGGCAGGATTTCAAGCTCATGCAATTCACATTTGTCCTTAACAATCTTATTCGCCTCCCAAGGTCTTGCGCCGTGATCCAATCACAAGACTAAGGGCGGGCACCTGAAGAGCATATAACCAACGATACAGAAACCCGATGTCTTGGGTTTCATAGCTCACATGCCGGACGGTTCCATTAAGAGGATCTAGTCAGCTCCTGGCCAGAAAGAAATCCCCCAGTGGGCGCCCAATATTTTGCCCATGGCGCTGTCAATGGTCACATATGACACCTGATTCGCCAGCCCATCCGATATCTTAACTATGTTCTTTTAGCTATAGCCAACCCAAATGGACATTGAACCCAGATGCAGGAAGTGTAGATGAGCTAATAATCTAAAGCCGACATTATAAAACCGATGTGTCTTCCGTTGCGATGTTGTTCAGGCGTGCATGTTGATACCAACTCTTTCCACCAGCTCTCATTGTCTTTTTAGCATGCGCGTCGCTCGTTTTCTTCCTGCGCTTGTGGGCATCGCCGCCGCTTGCAACGGTAATCAGGCACTATGCGGGAAGAAGTATTCTGAGATTACCTTCGTTGGTTCTCATAATAGCGCTTTTGTCGGAATCGGCCCTGCGCACAACCAACTGGTTTCCGTACAGGAGCAGCTCAATCTGGGCGTCCGCTTCCTCCAAGCTCAGACACAGAACAAGAGGGGCAACATTCAGTTGTGCCATACTGACTGCCTTCTTTTGGACGTGGGTACGCTATCCGAATACCTGGATAAGATCAACAAATGGATGAACACCAACCCGAATGAGGTCGTCACCTTACTCCTGACCAACATCGACAAGATTCCCGTGGAGAAGTTCGCCGAGGTTTTCAAAAGCACAGGGCTGGAAAAGTACGTCTTCAGGCCTGGGAAGAAAGTTGCCATCGACCAGTGGCCCACGTTACAAACGCTTATCAACAGCGGAACGAGACTCATTGTCTTTATGGGTAACACACACTCTATGCAGTTGATTGACGCCAAGAAACTGATTTGTATAGACTATCACTCCGACACGAGCAAAGTAGACTACATCCTTGACGAGTTCCAGTACTTCTGGGAGACACCCTTTGGCGAAACGGATCCAAACTTCCCTCGTTGCAACATCGACCGGCCGCAAGGCGTTGACCCTAACGGGTACATGTATATGATAAACCATTTTCTGAACTTTGAAATCCTCGGGATCAAGATCCCTGATCTTCCCAATTCAGCAAAGACGAATTCCCTTCAGTCTATAGATAAGCAGGTCAACCTCTGCAGAGGTATGTGGGGAAAGACACCGAACGTCATTTTGGTAAGTCGGTCACAGTCTTCTGAAACGCCGGGGCTGGCTGTCATGTCAGATCGGGGCGATTATATTGCGTTGTTCTCGGGGTTGCTAACAATGCGGGCCTAAAATTAAGCTTGACTGGATCAACATTGGCGAAGCAATAAAGGCGCAAAACCAGTATAACGCGTAGAAGGAATCGACCTTCCATGCATGGAATGCAACCTGTAGCCTACACAAAAGCGGGCGGTTTTGTCTCAAAAATAGCAGTAAGGGTACAGGAGAGATGGAGAAAGAGGCAAAAAAATAATTAAGGCAGGGCAACCTTCGGCCAGCCCTGCAAGCCAGAAGGGGTAGTGGACGCGTAGTCGCTTGGCTTAGAGGAAAACATGCAACCGTGCCGCCCCCAAAACTCGTTGTCCAGCAATTAAATCGCGCGTGCAAAGGATTCGACGGCCTCTTTAGCAGGGCGGACGAGGTCACGTTTGCGCTGAAAGCGAGATGAGGGGTCTCATCCTGGGTGGCTCTTCGAGGCGTGAGCAAAGCCACTTTCGGTGTCCCGATTCGGGAAAGGAGCTTCGGGAGACAATCGCCAGATGGCCGCCTGCACCTCCTATCCACTTTCGGCCACCGATCTATGAATACCATGCAGTACAGCCTGCCCCTCGCTGCTGTCGTCAACTCTCACTTTTCCATCTGTCTTTTGTCCTCGATCCAGAACCGCTGTGTCGCGTGTCTATGCCCATCGACTGCCTGGGATAAATATCTTGCCATGGCTCGACTTCATCACTGACAGCTCGTTTTGAGTTTGTCCGATATTACCATCTAGTTCATCGCAACTTTTGCATTTTGGCACGCATACCGCATACGCTTACTCCTTTACTTGCTTGCCTGGAATGAGCATTGTTTTCTACCGCCATGGAGAAAGACGGAGCATGGCTAGCTGACGGCGAGTATCTGGACTTTGTCAGGTCACTTTCCTTCTCGGACCCGCGGCTTAGGCAGCGGGATCCCAAAGCTACCACCCAGCGCATCCCGTTCACAGATGACAATGTCAGAGTTGTCAAGCTTAGCCTCGAAAATGGCAAGTTCACAAGGAAGGCAGAGTTCAGCGAGCCGGCTAGCCTGCAAACCCACTTCCGCAATACCGCACTGCAACGCGGTCGTCAGAATGTCTATATTGTCGAAGGACTTGGTCCTGGTTTCGCCAGCGTGCTGGGAGAACAGTTTTCTCTTCACCCCTCGTTCTTCGTAGAGCATGAGCGCGTCGTTGTGCATAACCTCAACTGGACGGGAGAGAGCGACGGTGTACAATTGCCGTCCGTCATCCAAAGCCGTGGCCATCTCGAGGTGAAGTACTACGAGGTTGTCACGTTTGACAGGAAACCGACAAGTTTCCGCTGGGTATGCGCGGCTACCGGGAGACACATCGGTGTCTCTCGAGACTTCAGATGGGACAATTCTCCTGATGAGATTGACAATTTCATGGATGCTGGTGTTGTGCGGAGGAAGTGTGGTGTATGGTCCTGGAGGACTGAGGGTGGCGGTTGGGACTGTAAGTCTACTCATTCCCATTCCACATACAACATAACGTAACTCACAATTTCTAGGCCTCGTCCTCTGCGACCCTCCAGTCAGAAGCGTTAGGACAGGAGACCGGTACAACGTCGAGTATCTCGTCAAGACTTGGCCTTATCAGGGCGGCTACCTGGACTTTGTTCCCGAAGAAGAGCAAATCCGCGTCGCCAAAGAGGGCTTCTATCGAGGACCGCCGCGGATTTCCATGTTGGAAGACCTTTCCTTCTACCTGGAAACGCACTCGCGCCTTGTGGACGTTGCAGAGCCCGAATCTGTCGCCATCTTCGTCAAAAAACTCGTGGCATCCCATTTCCTCAAGCAGACTGAGCACCTCCGCGCAACCCTCTCCGCGGTTCAGCGCGGGCTCACGCGCAAGCAGGACCTGGCCAAGATGCCTATGAACAAAGTCGAGGCCTTGTGGAGCGACATGCAGGGCTGGGAGCGGCGAACGGGTGAATATCTTGAGGACCTCGAGGGCATAATGCTGCAGCTGGGTATTCCTCTATCACACCCCGCTGGCCCCGTTGTGGCCACGCCGCCGACGACGAGGGGGGCGTTATCAGCAGCCAGCATTGCGTGGCAGGATTGCACGGCGGACTTCCAGTTTCTTTACCTTCGTTTCCGAGAATTAAGGCACCGCACGGAGACGCTCAACGCTGCGGTGACGGGATTGGCGAGCATCACAGGCAATCGACAGGCTTACAAGGAACAGCAGCGGAGCATAAGCGAAGCCAAGCGGACCAAAGCTATTACGCTTCTCGGTCTCGTGTTCATTCCTTTGGCGTTTACCACGTCATTGTTCGGAATGGAATCGCCATATAAGCCTGGCGACGGAAAGTTTTGGGTGTTTTTTGTCACATCAGTCCCTCTGATCTTGGTGGTGTTGCTGGGGTACTATGTGTTGGATTTCGGGTACAATGATGAAGGAAGAGCATGGTCACTGGACAATTTCTATAATTCCGTGGCTGGGAGGTTGGACAGGTTGAAGAGGCAAGAAACTGCCGTCCTACAAGAATTACAGGAAAGTAAGGCGTGACTTGTTCAAAAGCGTATTGTTATAGGCAGATGAATAGAAAACGGAACTGGCTCCTGACTATCAAACAGCACCTAAAAATGTCGTCATTCATGCTGAAGCTACTTGTACAGTGGGAAAGGAGCTGAACCGATAACATTAGAGTGGGTCGGTCGCCCACCACTTCAGCGCTTCTTATCGGCGTGTTTAGTGGCGCCACGCTCGCGATAAGCTCCCGTCCTGCAAATCGACACTAACACGTCGCGTCGCCGCGACGCGTTCAAGAGCTCTTAATTGACGACCCGCTCCACCACCCACCACCCACCACACAACTCTACCCCAACACTCGTCTATGATAGAGAATATTCGTTTGTACCTTGCAAGTACATATGACAGCTTCATTTTAGTCTTTTCATGTTTTGATACCCATACTCCTACCTGTCTACCTTAATCATATTCCACAATGGCTTCGCAGCAGCCCGCGGCGCGTTCGCCCAGCGCGAGCCCGGCGCCCGAGTCTTTGCAAGCGCGAATCGCCGCCCGTTTGGCCGCCATTGACACCGACTCCGAAGACGACGAGCCCAAGACGACCGGCCGTAAGAGCAGGACGTCTCCCAGCCACATGGATCTTAGCGACTCTGAAGAAGAAGAAGTCGTCCGGCGGCCTAGAGGCCGTCTCGCTGCCCAGATGCAGGGCGGTACCCAGAAATCCGATTCAGAAGAGCCTGAGAGCTTCCTCGATCGCATACAAAAACGACTCGCAGCCGCAGAGAAGGCAAACGACAAAGATACGGAGGACACGGTTATGGAGGAGGCCGAGGATAACGAGGACGACATTCCTGTAGCACCTCGACGACTGCAGAGAAAACAAGCGAGGGAGGCCACGCCGAGGGCTGAAAGCCCCGTAGCCCGCTCTCCTACTCCAGGACTCTTCGTGTCTCCAGAAAAACAATCGCCAAGTAGACTGGCAAACCGAACAACAGCTAACGAGTCCGATTCGGACGCGTCACTACCCGCTCTTAAGAGCTCCAGATTCCAGGCCCTTGTGGAGCGCAAGCGCCAGGAAAGGTTGGCACGCGAGGCCGAGGAAGAAAAGAAGAAGGCTGAGCGCATAGAGCGCCAAATGGCCATGAATGCCGATCTTTTTGACGACGATGACGCCAACGTGTCTGACATCACCGACGACGAGGGCGGCAGGAAGCTCAGCCAGGCGGCGAGGCCCGCAAGGAAGGCGGGCAAGAAGGCCATCGAGGAGATGAACCGCGAGACACAGCGCATGGCTCGTAACATGCAGCTCGCTCATGAAGCTAAGACGAGGAAGAAGTTCAGCAAGTCAGACTTCCTGGAGCGCTTCAACTTCAGGACCGCCGAGACGAAGTCGGACCCCAAGACGACCAGCTCTAGCCGGCCAACTACACCGGTCTCAGCCCACCAGACTGATGCCGAGATGAAGGACCCCGAGACGCCCCCTAGCTCTCCACCTGTAGATAAGGCATCCACTCCCACTAAGCTTCAGGAGACTACCACTACTGTACCGCAGCTCACGGAAAGCACTGAGGAGGCGGACCTGCCTTCTCTGGACGTATTTGACGCCTCAAAAGTGCTGGATAAGGGCAAAGGAAAAGCTGTTGCTTCTCCCAGCCCCAAGAAGTCGCCTGTAAAGGCCAAAGAAGTTAAGCCGAAGCGTCAAGTCCGCATCAAGTTACCTTCAATTTCAGCACACCATGCTGTAATCGACCTGGATGACGACCTGGAGATCACCGACGTGAGGAAGGGCAAACTTGACGCGGTTTTCAACAGTATTCCTGAGAAGAAGTCCAAGCAGTCTACCTCCCTGCACGCCCTGCGCCGCCTCGCCCAGGTTGGGTCACCCGACAGAGGGAGGAAGAGGCGAGACGAGAAGATCGGTATGACTGTTGCGCAGTTGCAGTATACTCTCCAACAAAGGGCTCGACAGCAGGCGAAGATGGAGCGTGAGAAGCGTCTCGAATACCTCAAGTCCAAGGGCATTGTCGTACAGACGGCCGAGGAACGTGAGCGCGAGATGCAAGAAGTCGAGGACATTGTCACCAGAGCCAGAAGAGAGGCCGAGGAGATCATGGATCGCGAGAGAGAGGCAGCGAAACAGGAGAAGAAGGAGAAGAGGGAGAATGGCGAACTGGACGCCTGGGATGATAGTGATGATGAGTATGAAGGCTCCGAGGAGGAGGTTGAAGAGGACGCTGAGGTAGAACTTTCCGGTTCTGAAGAGGAGAATGACGCCTCTGATGAGGAGGAGGAGGGCAATGACCTCGTTGATAACGAGGCTGGCGACAGTGGCTCTGAGCGTTCAGATGCCGAGTCGGAAGATGAATTAGATCTGCCCACCAAGAATGTTCGCCGCGCGAGAAAAGCCCAGGTCATCTCTGACGACGAGGATGAGGACGATAGGATTGAGGCCACGCCCAGACCAAAAACCGCAACTCAACGATCGCCCGTCGCCCCTAACACCAAGTCACCCGCTGTACCTACCTCAGTCTTGAGATCGGCGAAGAAAACCTTCATCCCTGGCCTTCCCGTCACAGGAGCCGCAGGACTCGGCTTGACCCAAATATTCGCCGGGACCATGGATGACAGTCAGGCAGCACCCGGGACGTTTCCCTCCCAGTCACCAATGCCCGACTTCGACAGTCTTCCCGATTCAAACCTCATCGGCAACAGCACCCAGCAAGACAGTCTCATATTCGATAGCCAGAGTGGTGACACCCAGCGCGCTGAGACACAACCTGACTCTGCAGACGGCGTTCACCTGCACTTCACCCAGTCACAAGTGCACGGCTTTGACAGTATGATGCGAGACGAGCCTTCTACACAGATCTCTGTTGAGGCCACCCAAGACGCGGGCTTGCAAGACTACACCCCTCTGAGGTCCCGTTTCGTTGAAGCCCCCGCTTCAACCGTCGAGACGATGATGCTTGACGGTGATGCGGAGGTCGACACAGTGCTTGAGTCCCCTCTTGTACGCAGGGGCAGGTTGCGCCGTAAGGTCGATGTCGTTGCTACTCCTGCTGATGAAGAAGAGGAGGAGGAGGAAGAGGTAACACCCAGAGCTGTTAGTCCCGAGACTGACGAATTCGGCTTCAACACGACTGCCTTCAGTGTCATGAAGGCTGCCGTTGACAAGCAAAACAAACAGAAGAAGGCTGCAGAGTACAACCGCAAGAAGAGCAAGGCAAAGGAGATGATTGAGGAACAGGCCGAGGAGTCTGAGGATGAGTACGCTGGCCTCGGAGGTGCGGACGGCGAGGACAGCGATGACGACGATGCCGCCTCCGTCAAGGAGATGATTGACGACCAAGGAGGTATGACTGCCGAAGATGAGCGCAAGCTGGCGGCGCTTTATGCGTAAGTTGATGCCCATGTCCGCCCGTTTCACTCAACTAACACGACTCAGTGAGCGTGAGCGCGCAACCGATGAAAAGATGGTGGACAAGCTGTTCCACGACATCACCACCGGTATGCTCCGTCGCAAGCGTGGCGCCGATTACGACCTCTCCGACTCTGATGACGGCGGCGAGGCACGTCGGCGTATGAAGCGCCGGCAGTTCCAGAAGATGCAACAGGCCCTCTTCGCCGATGAGCGCATCAAGAAGATTGCAGAGAAGCCCGGCAACCAGGCTTTCCTTCGTACCATCGAGGACCGTGGCAGCGATGACGAGATGGACTTCCTTGACATTGCTGCGCCGGAGCCAATGGATACGGAAGAGTCTCAGTCCCAAGATCAGACCGTGCCGGACAGCCAGCCTACAACGCAGCGGGAGCCCCTCACATCGGGACCCGCGAACCGGCCGGCCGCCAACATGCGCAGGACCAAGGACGGCAAGAAGCCGTCTAACCTCGGCGAGATCCGCGAGTCCGTGTCCAGCCTTCTCGAGGACCTCAACGCCGAGATCATCCCCGCCACGGACCCCGCCTCCGACAGCGAAGCAGACGACGAGGAACGCCCGTCAACGTCGCGGAGTAACAAGGAGAACCACTCCCCCGGCAAGAACCCGCGCCGCACCGCATCATCTCGGCCGGCCATTGTCGACCGCATCTCCCTCAAACGCCAATCATCGTCCAACATGTCTACAATGTCCTCCAACCTCGCCTTCGCCATGCCCAACGTTGCAGGTGGCGTGGCCGCCGCCTCCGGCGGCAGCTTCAAGGTTCCCAACCTCCTCCGCCGCGCCACGACCAACTCTTCGTTCAAGTCGAGCTCAAGCAGCAGCATCACCGGCGGCGGCGGCAGCGGTGGCGCGCCGTTCTCTGCCTCCGGCGGCGGTACGAGTGGCTTCGGAGACGACGGCAAAATCAAGAAGAATGCAAGCAAGCGATCTGGCGTCAGCGCGCTTGCGAGAGAGAACGAGCGTAGGGCGGCGATCCAGGAGAACGAGAAAAGACGCGAGGCGAGGAAGTGGAAGGGCGCCGAGATGCGCGTCAAGGCTGTTGGCGGTTTATTTGCGGCGGGCAAGTTTGAGTAAACTAAACGGTGAGGTTTTGTGCGTGGTTTTTGGAAGCGTAGGAAACAAAACAAGAAGAATGCCGTGATGAATATGGGATTGGGATCAGGAATGGTCAAATAGTGATTTGGAGTTCTCGGTTGCCTATGTGGTAGGATTATTGGCGTTTTTGGGCATTATCATCATATCATGCCTTGAAGGAGGGGAGTCATCATAGTTTGTGGTTATCGACATTATTTCTTCACAATGAAGGCATGTTTCTACTCGGTGAGATGTGCAGGTGTTTACGTTGCATTTTGCGTTGCACCTTTGGTTGTACCAGTAGCGTGTATTTTGATCAATGATATGATACTCTTCACATTCTTTCGAGGCTCGTCTGGCATTTTACTCGGTTCTGTCCGTATACGTTCACAATGCTTTTCATTGAATAAATCGTACGTGTGTATGTAAAAAAGGAAAAACCCTCCTGCCGATTTTTGTCTTCCACGTCCGCAGGGTCTCTCTAGCTCGCTTCCTCGCTTCAATGCCCAGCACATTTCGCTTATTTCTTCTTCTGGCCAGCGACAACAGTAATCTCCTTGGGAAGTTCTGCAACGTAAGGCAGGAACTCGGGCTGGCCGGGGATGTACTTGCGGAGGACCTCGGGGACCTTGAAGCCGTCGGGGGTCTGGTAGTTCTCCAAGATGCAGCAAAGGGTACGCTCCGTGGCGCAGAGGGTCTGTGATGGGGTGTCAGCGACATGTGCATCTTTGAGACAACGAGGTACCGAATGGTGGTGAGAAAGGAAAGGTACTTACGGCGTTGAGGGCGTGGACATACTCCTTGCGTCCACCACCGGGGGCCTATGAAAATTGTTGGTCAGTTGGTGATCTCTTATCAAATTGGGTTAAGCTTGCGAACAACTCACCTCCTTGGCCTTCTTGACACCATAGCGAACCTCGAGCTCACGGGTCTGGTAGTCGGTGCCTGAGATTGTTAGCCTTTTTAAACGTCATACTCTGAGGCAATGCCACTCACAGTTGGAGCAGGAGACGAGCTCCTTGTACTCCTCCTGGAAGGGGAACCAGGCCTCCAGGTCGTACTTCTTGGCAGCGGCGTTGTTCCTGTATTCGTTAATGTCTCAGTTCAGGTCAACATGTACGCTACCAACTCACAGAGCTCCAGAGACGATGGAGACAACCCGGTAGGGCAGGCCAAGGCTCTGGTAGAACTCCTCAGAAGCACCAATCATCTCGTCGAAGTGCTTCCAGCTGTCCTCAGGTTTGCAGAAAACGAACTGCTCAATCTTCTCGAACTGGTGGACACGGAAAAGACCCCAGGCCTCCTTGCCACTGTTGGAATTATCTCGTCAGCACACCGTGTTCTCATAAGATGTTACCATCGAAGGCCAAGGGGAGTGACATACTGCTTGCCAGCCTCCTTGCGGAAGCACGTGCTGTAACCTGCATACTTGATGGGCAGCTGGCTGCCCTGGATCCACTCCTCGCTGTGCAGGGCAGAGAGAGGCTGCTCAGAGGTAGCGATGAGATACTTCTCCTCGCCGTCGCCGGTAACCTTGTACCTAGCTCGCGTGTCAGAGAAATGTCAAAGGGCTAAGTTTCCGGACTTCTTGTCTCACAGTTCCTCGTCGAATTGCTCAAGTTGAGCGGTCTTGGCCATCTGGTTACGGTTCATGAAGAAAGGGGGCTGGTTGGGAGTGTAACCCTTGTTGAAAAGGAACTCGAGACCGTAGTTAATCAGAGCCTGGTTGCTGTTGAAATGTTAGCATTAGTTTAATCTTGAGGAACGCCAGCCACTATTCGTAGCCGCCGAAGAAAACCCCCCAAAAAGCCCAGTGATATCTTACAGGAAGAGACCGTAACCGGTCAAGCAGTAACCTCTGTGACCGACAAGCTTGATAGCTCTTTCGGAATCATAACCAGCCAGACGCGTAACGATCTGGTGATGGCTGAGCGTTTGCTCGGTCTTGGGGGCAAGGCCAGCCTCGGGCTTCCACTCGCGTTCTGTCACATTGTTGTCCTCGTTATCGCTGATGGGGACGGATTCGTGGACGTAGTTGCCGATGCTCTTGGCCTTGGCGTTCAGCGTGACGAGCTTCGCGGCCGCCTCGTCCTCCTTATCCTTCTTCTGCTTCTGCAGGTCCTCCTTCTTCTTGAGCAGGTCGTCGGCGTTCTCCTTGTTCTTCTTCTTCATGCCAATCTCCTTTTGCGTAGCGTTAATGTCGCTGCCAATCTGTGTCGCAGCGTATTGAGTCTTGCGGTGATCTAATCATTGCGCGCGGTTGCGGTCAGCCCATTATATTTCCTCCACAAGAATGCACGAGATGGGCCGCCGAGAAAGAAGTTCGAGGTTCCGTACCTTCCCACAGAGCAATAACTTCATCTACAGCCTCAATAGGCGCATGGCGACGGCGCTGAGACTCGCGGATCTTCTCCGGGTCGCCGCCACGCTCCTTGATAAAATCCTGAAGGTCGAGCATGATGTATGATTTTTTTTTTAAATGGGTGGAGGGAGAAGGTTGGCGAAGCGGGGCTGTGAGGACGGTGACACGTTAATAAAATATCCCGACAGCAGTTCAACTCGATTCGACAAAGACTCACTCGTTCCTGGGATTGGGCAATGGGCTCGCAGGAGGTTCGGCGTGACGATTCCACGGTGACTCACGAGCAACTTGATCAGTGGTAAATTGTCGTTGCTGTGGTGGGGTTATTTTGGCGGGGGCGGGGCTGAGGCGGTCAAACGCAAGGGTCTCTCACACCCTCTCTCTTTACAGGCGCATATCAATTGGACTTGTACGATAAACTCCAAAAGCCACCAATGCAACCATAATCATGTAAATTTGAGGCTGTGTCAATCAAACGATCCCTACCACGAAACACATGCCCATTTTCGGCCTTCCAGAGCGTAAAATAGTATACAGTTCTGCCGTGCAAATCCCCAAGCAGTAACCCAAAGCCATTTCCTAGGACTCACGCTGTCCTTGTGATCAATCTCAACAGAAAATAATGATACAACATGATCTAAACCACAGCAGGTGATTCCTCGACCTTGGCCTTCTTAGATGCCTCGTCCTCCTCTGCAGGTTCCTCGGCCTTGCGCTTGCTACCATTGGCCTCCCCGCCATTAGACTGGGACGCAGCAGGCTTAGGCTCCTCCTTGTTCTTCTTCCTGACCAATCCAGTAAGGTCGGTGGCCGTCTTTTTGGCTTCCTCGATGCGAGCCTGAGTCTGCTCGGCCGATTCGCCGAGAGCGGCACCCAGGATGCCTCCCATGGCGTCACCGCCAGCATCGCGAAGAGCGGCATTCATATCGATAGGTGGCTTGCGGAGCTCCACGAGCTGCACATTGTTAGTATAAACATTTTCTGCAAAGAACGCCCACTTACACGTTGCTCCATATCCGTAATCATGTCTTTGACATCCGTAATTGTTGCTCTTGTAACCTCGTTGTCCTCTGGCGAGGCCATGGTGGCCAACTCAACCTCCTTGTTTTGAAGCTTTAACTTCGTGCTGTTGATGGCTGCTTCCAATTCATTTGCTGCCTCCTCACGAAGCTTCTCATCAAAGGCTTGCTTATCCGCCTTCTCACCTTCCTCCTGGGTAGTTGTTACGGAGGCGAACTCAAGAGCCAATGACAGCTTGAAATGTGCTTCAGCAATGATTTCGGAGTCATCAGTGTACAGGTCTTTCTTGTACTTCAATGACTTGCGAGAGTCTTCGATCGCATCGGGGTATCTAGCCGCGGTTAGGTCCTGGCCAGTTGGCTATGGGTAGAATGTCCTACCTCTCATTCTCTAGGGAAATTTCAGCAAGGAGATCGTGGGTATCGGCGAGGCGCTCCTTGACGTGCTTGATGGTAAGCTTTTCACTGTCAACCTGTTCTTGTGCCTTGCCATTGGGCTCCTCCTTCTCTAGTTGTTCCAGCTGGCGGCTGTAGAGGATGCGGGCCATGTCAAGAACACCGAAAGCAACGGCGAGATCGTCTTCGTCTTCCTCTTCTTCCTCGCCTTCGCCCTCGGCCTTGTATACAGTCAGCTGTCATCCGATCTGCTGACTGGTCCCCGCTTACCTCTTCCTCGTCCGAGTCGTCAAAGTTTTCGTCGCCGGTAAACTGGAAGAGAGGTTTCTTCTCTCCAGCCTTCTCATCTGTATCCGCTCCGGCCACTTCGCTGGCAACAATTGCGACACCCTCTTCTGTTACTCTCTCTGCGTCGGTCTCGACAGACGCATTGATGGATGCGACAGGTGCGGCCTTCTTGGTCTTTGGTTTCGATTTCTCGGGTTTTTTCTCGCTGGCGGCCTTGCCTCCTAGGACATCACTTTTGCTTTGGCCAACCTTGAAAACACTGCGGCCGTAGAGGAACAAGATCTCGGCATTCTGGGGCTGCATCTCGCCATTAATTTCGTCCTGCAGCTCAGCCGCTCTCGTGAAGCAGTCGGCTGCCTCCTCGTACTGTTTCTTCGCATAAAGCGCAGTGCCCTTAGCAGTCAAATCCGCAAGAGTCACCTTCTTGGAGTTGACGTCTTCTTCTGACTCTTCGCCGCCAACGGTGGCGGGCGTATCCTGCTGGGCAGGCGCATCTTGCTTGATCTCTGGGTTTGCGACAGGCACCTCCACAACTGGGGCCTCGGCAGCAGGGACCTCTACGGCATTCGCGGATTGCTCTGTTGAATCGGTCATCATGAAGGATGGAAGAATTGAATTGATGCAGTGAGTGATTGATAATAAATGGATAGAGAAGAGCAGAATCTCTTTTGAGAAGTGGATGGAACAGGAGAAAAAGGTCTTGCGACAGCAAGAAACGAGACTGGCAGCTGCCTTTGTCCGTGGTACGACGCGCGAGCAAGCTGCAGGAAGGTGCGTTGATTGGGGAACGAAACTGCAGGGATAGCTTCTTTCCAGCACGTCGACCTAGTCCTAGCCAATCACAACTCAAGCGCGGGATACAGTACTTTAACTGCCATTTACACTGTATTAGATCCCATCATTTTTGGGAAAGACCAGCTTGAAGTGCAGGGTGCTACTGCCGCTACCACTGCAACTACCGCCGCCTTCAATTACCCTGTTAAACTTGACATGTTCCCAGACGCCTCAATTCCGCCTCTGTCTTCGCCTTCTTTCATCGTAGATTACCGTACATGCTAGTCTTCCCAATTAGTCAAGGAACAGACGACTACAATTGCATGTTTGCAGAGGGCGTTCGGCTTGGTTGTCCTCTCAGGTGTGCCGACGAGCCCTTGAATAAACTCTGCCAAATAAATGCTTCACTCAGCAGCAGTTCAATATCCTTTTCTGTCCATGACTTTGTCGGCAGGCTCTGCAGGAACATCATTATCTCCTGAAAATCCATTTTAACCAGTTTATCCGACCATTTCACCAAGAAGGCAGCGCACACATATAAATGGAATTCTGAAAAGCCCTGCTCCTCAGCCTGTGACATGTTAGTTTTGTTCATCATGTTGGGGACATTGATGCACTTACCAAGTACGTGTCCCACATCCTGATCGTATTTCGCACACTTATCTCTCGCATTAAGAGACAATTCATCCATCGAAAACTAAACTGGATAAACTCAACATGCTCCGCTTCGAGATGTTTTGCCAATCCCGCATCAATTCGTGCTGTAAGGTCACGTAAGGCCGCGACTTGCCTCTGAATGCCTGGTTGAGCCACGATGTAGTGGTCTTGGATTCCATCCAAGAGTTTGGTCAAACACCAAAAGGAGTCTGCCTCCACGGCATCTAAAACGGTTTTGGGCAACTGGCCAGGGTCCATACCGGATTCTATGTCGGAATCCGCGATGTATACACTCAAAAAGACTTGCCAGAAAGGCGTCACAAGGTCGTTGATGCCTTGTACATAGCCACTGGCAGGATGCCGAACTGCCCAAACATAAAGAATTCGCTCCAAGGATCTTTGAGTCGCCTCATATGAGTAAAGCTCAATATGGGGGTTTGTCCTTGGAACGTCAATGCTGATTTGATGCCAGATTGCCTCATCTAATCCTCTCGCCTTGCCTGTCGGGGCAGCGCTCGTGCCACCTCGTTCAAACGCCTGCCGGACACCATCCAGGTACTCTTTTCGTTTTCTCTCCAGGGTTGCAACTCTTCTCTCGCTATTAGTAGGCAAGTAGCTGAGTAGCAATTGCCAGGTCATGGCGCGAACCTCTTGAGGAACACCAGACCAAGCTAGCTGCCGGAGCTCCTGCAGAGGGATTGTGGACGCCTGCAGAAGTTTTTTGAACTTATTGATCCGGGTTATCCTAGAATTAGCTGCGTCAATCTCTTTGGGCGTTGCATTAGCAGGAAGAGCAGGGTGGTCAATTAGATGTAGGGCGTTTGCGGGGTCTGGTATTGTCAGCGTAGCACGTTTTAGCCCTCAGGTCGATACTTACCTCTCAATATCTCCTTGTATTGCGGTCTCAAAATTTTACCCTCGCTCTTCTTTGGCATAGGATATGTCGGTGCAGGTCTTTCAATAGCGATATCCGCACTGTTAGAGTATCTTCTGGTATGAAGCCCAAGCCCAAAGGAGTCAACCATAGGCGACAGGCTTCCATTAGGGTCTGTTTTGTTCTGCGCGGCCATCTTGCGTGTTCGCCTTTTCATGTTGGACAGACTGGGCAAACCGAAGTCATCGCCATCGTCATCCTCGTAGCCCATCATATCGTCCTCATCCGCTTTCCAGTCATCATTCGTGTTGGAGAGGAAATTTATATAACTCTTGATTGGTGGCGATGACAGCCCTGACGAGGGCCTCGAGGTGGGAGGGGAGACATCGCTGGGTCGGCCTTTAGTCGAATGGGAGGAAGGAGGAGTTTTGGGTCTCGAAGAGGAGTTGGATAGGTTTCTGCCCGCAAGTTAGCAAAATGGCTGCGCCACAACACCAGCAAAGAGAGTCGCACAGGGAGTCGAATTTCAGAATGTCTGCATGTGAATATGCAGCCCCAACGACCAGGTTGGGATCGCGACCTGTCCTTTTCGCTGCATTCTCACGTGGGGGCGGCGGTTTCCAAAACGGTGATGAAGAACTACCCCATGTCAGTTCTAGGAATTTGGACTGCAAGTTTGCGAAGCCAACCTACTCTGAGCGGTCTGCGCCGTGTAAAATGTCATGTTAGCCAAGGTTTCCAAAGGCATCATTCAACGCCCGAGCCTCTGCTGCTCCAGGCATCTCAAGATGCAAAAGGTATGACGAAACCCACCGACTTGGACCATCTCCTGCTGCGGGGCAACTTAGCATGCGACGATGTCTTCTTGCAAGGGCGCTTCGGGGCATACCTGTTGCGAGGGCTTCTTCCCACTCCCTGAAGAGGAGAACATCATGTCGTTTCTCTATTGAGACGATATCATTGTGTGTCTTGTTGTTAAGATGCGCCAGGCGAGTCGCCTGAGCTCCGAGCAAGTGACCAGTGGCCGGACCCTTGCTTCACATTAGTGTACAGCCCGCCGCTTGGAGCAGCAGTTGAAGTGGAGTAGAAGAGGTCACTGTGGCTTCGGCCGCTTAGCTGTGGCGCTGTACGGTGATTCCGGTTACGGGCATGAATCGGACACTCTCGTTGTAGGTTTTCAAGGTTTCCCACAGCGCATCTACAGCTAGGTTGCAGCGACAATTTTGAAGTTGGCTCTGTAACTGTCAAGACAGGACCCTTTAACCTTGAGTGAGAGATAATGCAAGGGGGCTTCCTTCGTTGTTGTGGAAATTCCAAGCGGGTCGCAAACGGTTGCTCTAACAATTCGGTACCTTACATGAACCAGAGATAGACCCGCCCCGGCCTCAGTCGCAAACTTCCCCAAGCCCAGTACGTCTGGTCCACACGTATCTGGCTCTCAGACTTTTCTGATCACGTGATAAATGAGCCGTGCTTCCCTTTGCTTTGGGCCTAAGGAATCACTAGGTATCCCTAAGGTTAGCCTATGGCTTTGGGCTTCTTCCCCAGCCTTTGTAGCTCTGATTGGATTGGGCGCGCCCATTGGCTCCGCTTCCTCCCTCTAGCTCCACCTTCCCTCCTCTTCTACTCTTCTCTAAGAAATATCCAAACAACACGACGACGTCGTTGCCCCCCATCTTTTTCGTTGGTTGTCCACGTTCATTAAACGGCCTAGTTTTCTTCGTTTTATTTCCGAGCTGTGGCTATTAATCGACATCTGGGGTAGCTCACACGCGACACCAGTAACCTCTTCGACTATCGACCGACAAGATGACGGAGCCTGAGAACTTCGAGGAGGATCTCTTCGCTGACCTGTTAGTGACGATAGTCGCTGCCTGCGACTCTTCTCATCAAACAAGACGCTGATTTTCCATAGCTACGATGACGATACCCCCGCGAAGCCAGCTGCCGCTCCACCACCACCACCACCACCGGCTGCCCCTGCCCAAACTGCGGCTCCCGTCCAGAACCACGAGATCCATGCAGAACCACATCCTCCAGCCGAACCAGAGCACGGGGGCGAGGAGATGAAGTATGAAGATGACGAAGATGATGACGAGGTAGACTTTAACCTTGGCAGCGGCGGCGGCGGCGGCGGCAACAGTAGTGGCGGAGTCCCCTCTAACGCGACCCCTTCAAACGGTATGGGCGCGGTCAAGCATGAGGAACATACATATTCCACTAGCACTGCAAAGAACCCCAGTGCCAAGGAAGACGGGTAAGTGATTTTCGCACGCTGCATGATATTCGTATTTGCTCTACACCCCAATGGCATGGTACCTGTAGTAGGGTTGCCGTGAATCGATTAATCAGTAATGGTTTGATGGAGTTTGGGTATCAGTGCCCATGGAATCTCGTATCAGACCTGCGTGGTCTTGGGACTTGGAAAGGGAGTGAGAAGGTATCAACAGAAGATGTTGGTCATTCGCGTCTTTGGATCAAACTTCAGGGCGAGTCAAGAAAGCCAAGGAAGAAAGACATGAGAGTCCAGAAAGAGAAGCCAGAAAGAGGTGCCGCAAAATTCAGCTGGAAAGCAGCCTGAGAACACCGAGATATACCGCCGATAGTCAGTCACTCAATCAGTCAGATCAGGGTGCCCACGTGCGCCTTCTATAGCCCAGTCGCAGATGGTCTTAGAGCACGACGAGAACCGTCAGCGTTCTTTGGCTGCTGTAGCAAGAATAGCAGCGGATAGCGCTCGAGGCTAGAATCTAGCACAGACTTGACGATAGCAAAAGACAACAAACATTCGACAATGATCAGGCTATCCACTTGCGATTCTCCCAGATGTGAGAGTTTTCGTGGCTGGCTGGCATCATTTATCAACGGCAATTACTCTGGCCCCGTTTACGGACTAGAAACTCAAATCTCATACGGCTTGATGTGGTTGGTGTCGGGCGCCTCGCACTAATAATCGACTATTGAGTATCATGCTCTGTCTGAACTGCCATTGTTACCGAAGTGGACATTCTCGGCCGACGCATCCAAGATACGAAGACAATACATGAAAACCAGGAACCACATCAAGCCGCTGCCCTTATCCAGCCCCAGCTTCAGGATCTTTCAGCACCCTGTAAGAGGAGGAAAACTGCCCCCATGCCAAACGTTATTCTGCTGTTCTTGAATGTCCAGTCATGGCCAATCTTCGCTGAACAACGCGCATGCTGTTTGCACCTGAACTCCACGAATTGCAGTTACTTGAAACAATCTGTTCCATCAATAACAAAGTCGAGACGTATTTGCAGTTTTAAATTGCCGTCCAGGAATGCTGACCAAGCTCGTTTGCAGAAAAATGTTTATTGGTGGTTTGAACTGGGAGACAACTGATCGTAAGTCGTGCCACATGTCGGCTCCCATGCAGCTCGCTAACGGCTGGCAGAATCCCTGCGAGACTACTTCACTCAATTTGGCGAAGTCGTCGAGTGCACTGTGATGCGCGACAGCAGCACAGGTCGGTCCAGAGGTTTTGGTTTCTTGACATTCAGAGACCCGAAGACCGTAAATGTTGTTATGGTTAAGGAACATTTTCTGGACGGCAAAATTGTGTGTTTCTAAATCCTACACTTGATAATCAAACCCATGCTTACAACTACAGATCGACCCCAAACGCGCGATCCCTCGCGATGAGCAGGAAAAGACCAGCAAGATCTTCGTTGGCGGCGTCAGCCAAGATACCACGGACCAAGAGTTTAAAGACTACTTTGCGCAATTTGGCCGCGTTGTTGATGCCACCCTTATGATGGACAAGGACACTGGACGCCCTCGTGGTTTCGGTTTCGTTACCTTTGAAAGCGAGGCTGGCGTCGATGCGTGCCTCAGCACAAGTCTCGAAATCCACGGCAAGCCAATTGAGGTCAAGAAGGCTCAGCCACGAGGCAATCTTAGGGAGGAAGAAGAGGCAGCCCGTCGTGGAGGCAAGTTCCGTAAGGGCGAAGATAGTGCTGCGGCGCAGAGCGGGATGGGAGGTAATCAAATGGGAGCCACTGGCGGTATGACTCCGCAGGTCATGGCTCAGTATTTTCAACGCATGCAGCAAGCATTCGCCATGATGCAGCAACAGATGGCGATGAGCCGTGGCATGGGTCCGATGAACCCGGCCATGATGCAGCAGATGATGCAAATGCAACAGATGCAGCAAATGCAGAGCCAGATGATGGGCCGCGGCGGAGGCGGCAACGGTCAGAACATGATGGGCAACATGTCACCTCAGATGATGCAGCAGATGCAACAGCAGATGCAGCAGATGCAGCAGATGGGAGGACAACAAGGGGGTCCACCTTCTGGCCCTAGTGGCAGCTTCAGCCCTCAGCAACAGATGTTTGATCCGTCTCAAGGAGGTCAGCCGCAACAGCAGCCAACCGGACCGCGACGGGGCGGCAGCAGTGGTAGCGGCGGCGCTGGACGCGAACAGTACAATCAGGCTGCCTATGGCGGCATGGGTGGCGGAGGAGGCGGGCCGACGTCCTGGGAAGGCATGTATGACGACGTTCCGCAACCCAACATGAACCCCGGTGGCGGCCGTGGTGGAGGTTTCAACCGCGGACAACGCGGCGCGCATCAAGGATCGCCGGACCCGGCGCACGCCCCTCCGGCCAACGCGCCTACGGGACCGAAAAACGCTGGCAAGCCGGGCGCCAACTACCGTGGCGGCGGACGCAGCGGCACCCGCGGCTTCCACCCTTACTCGCGCTAGTAGGCGGTAATGGTGCGGCAAGGTCGCGGTCAGCAAGACGCAAAGATTATTCCTGGTTCAAGTGGAAGGAAGACGAATATATCCAATCGTCCTCTGGTTTGGCTATCATAAACGGCCTTTCGAAATGAAGGAACCAGGGAAAGCATAAAGTCGAGCGTCTTAAAAGTCACAGGAACACAATATGGTTCGGTCCGGCAGCTATTCAAGCGCAGGTCAATTCAAGTTCACGAAAAGAAGAACAAGACGACATAGTTCTTCGAAATTGCGGATTAGGGGGTTGATTAGGGGACAGGGTCTGGGTGGGCTGGCTTGTTTTCATGCTTTTACACACATTTCCTTGCACACTATCTAGACATTTTGTATTATATGAGGACCCCCAAAAAAAATCAATTACTAATCCGCCATCTTGGCTCGCAATGTCCTGATATCTCGAGTGACAGTTGGAAGTGTCTGTTCAGTCCGCATTACCACGATCTTGCCTGCTGCCAATTCCCTTGATACTAGCATTTCTTCGTGTGGCATTTTCTTGCACTTGAATACGGAAAAAGGTTCAACCAACCAAGGATGAAGTACCTATTTTAATCATACGCATGATGGTATGCAATAGATCGAAAGGTATCCTCTCGCCATTTATAATCCCCTTGTCCTACGACATGACAAATCCATGTGAGCCGACGATGGCGCCTAACTCGCTTCTACATACAACCCCTCTCAAGCTGCCCCCTCTTCTCAGCCCCTGACCTTGATGACTCGCCATCAGCTGTCCGAACCAGACCCGAGCCCGACATTGAACCAAACATTGAGAAGTGAGAAGAATAGGACGAGTTCTTTACTACTCGAATCGGATTTGAGTGGATACGCAGATACTGCTTAACACCACGGGATATATGGTCCGTTATTATAAGAATTAAAAAAAAAAAAATAAAGACACTAACACCATTGCGCCGTCATCGGGGCGTCAACACTCCCTACACAACTGTAGAGCCCACTTACCGTGCCTACCCAAATCGTTGACAACAAGACCGTGCACTCAAAACGGCGCAGCCAAACCAGTCGAATCTGTGTTGTTCCTCTCCACCCCTCCAGGCGCGAAAGAAGCCGGACAACCGCCGAGGCTTCCCCAGACCTACCACTCAACAACAACAGGCCATCCATTCAAAAACCCGAGTGAAAATCATTAACCTCTAAACTTCCCGTCCCAGTCGGCCGCTCCGATGGCACCCGGAACTAAATTTTACATCACCCTGCCAGACCCCACGTCCATGGGCCTAGAAAAAAATGATAATAGTAATTAAAATCCCAAAACTGAACATGGGAAAGAAAAAAAATAAGACACGGCCCCTTCCAGCCCCGGTCAAGGATACCTAAGCAAGGCATGTGATTTCTAATCAACCCCTCCATTTTACCCCTCCATCGATTATCGTGCGGTACTGCCGCGACAGAGACAAGCGGGAAAAAATCGCAAAAAGGTCAGAAGAACAAGGAGAAAGAAAAAAAAAAAAAAACAAAGATTCCAACCCCACATACCATTAAACAATCCCGCGCTTTTACCTGCGCAATTACCATACCTTATCCCCCCCCTCTCTTCCCATTCTAGAATTTCTCCCCTCCGTCCAATCCCCTTCTCCTCTTTCAAATGTTGACGTGATTCGAAGAAAGAAACATTTCCCCGGGCAACCGAAATCACATTACCGCATACCAATACCAGCCCGGTTGTCCACCCCCCACCTTTTAGCCCGCCGTCGGCTGTCGGGCTGAGCCGCAAGTCTACATTTCACATCGCATAAACTGCAGCAACAACGTCCAATTTGGCAAGCATCCCCGTTGCCTAGACTATTGCGCCATCGTCGTCTCTGCTGAAGAAACAACCACACTCGCGCTGCCGTCATCGCATCCTTACCTCGCCTTGCCTTGTCTGCATCGGCATCGCGACCCAGCTTTGGTTTTGGGGGGGTCTGACGTCTTATCTCGTACCCGCCGCCCTAGATCCTTGACACCACAACGCGTGCCACCAAACTTTACACCCCTCACCAAGGGTTTCTCCATAGCGGCATCAAGAACACAGATGATCCAGCGCCTCTTCTTCAGTTCCTAATTACGGCCTTTTGCAAACCATCTTCTCATTTTTTGGGGGGTTGCCAGGAAATTCGCCACTTGCCTCTAAAACACTCGTCTAACAGGAAATCCCGAACCCCCCGGAGCCCAGAAACGGAACCCGGTCGTAGCCCGCCAAAAAAAAAGAAAAAAAAAGAAACCCCGCCAACAAACCGCAACTACCGCAACTACCGCACAACTCAATCACCCACCATGGGTCTCCTGCAAGTCTCCGCGCATTGCCTTCTCTTCTTTTTGAGATTTGCCTTTACTCTTGTAGTCGAAAAAGAAGGAAACTCCTAACATAAGAATCTGTAGAGCCCTAGGAACCGCCCTTGACTGGCCGGATGCTAAGCAGCGCGCCGATCAAGTCCGGGAGTGGGGTATCAAGGTTCGAATGACCCTGTCATATCTTACATGAAATGACTGCATCACTCAGGAACAACAGCTTTTGCTAATCTGTATCTTTGAGACGTGCAGCAACTCCTAGAGATATGGAACAAGGCCAAGGGCAAAGAGCGCGATGCCATGTTGTGGGGAGATGAGGTACGTAACCCTCCTGCCGCTCTCTCTCTCTCTCTCTCGCTCTCATATGAGCCAAGGCATCTAATTCGTCGATATAGGTTGAGTACCTAGTCGTTACTTACTCCAAAGATGAGCCAAAGGTCCGTCTGTCTCTCAGACAGGCCGAGATTTTAACGGCACTTGCCGAGAGCCCCGATCTGGCCAAGGAGGGAGGTTGCGTGCCGGACCTGCAGCAGGTAGCCAGAGAGTCGTGCGTCTCCCTAGTCCCCTCCTCACTCGTCAATAGTCACTCGCCATGTGCATATACACATGACGTATGACCTTGGTGGAAAAGTGAGAGAGTGAGTGGTATGCAAAGTAGCCGGCTAATATCGTGAACGCAGCACGACCACTCTGCCCGTTTTCCACCCGGAATTCGGCCGTTTCATGCTCGAGGCCACGCCAGGCAAGCCCTGGGGCATAGGCTTCAAGGAGCTCCTCGACGTTGAGCCAGACATGAAGCTCCGCCGCAAGATTGCAAAGGACCACATGCACTCCAACGAGTACCCCATTACCCTGACCACATTCCCCCGCATCGGCTGCCCCGGTGACTTCACCGAGCCCTACTACCCTCCCTCCGGCTCCAAGCTGCGCTCGCAGTTCGTGCCGGACGAGATTGCGAACCCGCACATCCGGTTCCCGACCTTGGCGGCGAACATCCGCTGGCGCCGTGGCCGCAAGGTCCAGGTGAACGTCCCCGTCTTCCACGACAAGAACACCCCCAACCCCTGGAAAGATCCGACTGTGAACTATGACTTGCACAACTGGCCCGAAGATGACGACGTCCGCAACGGCGCCGCGCCGGATAACTTCATTCACATGGACGCCATGGCTTTCGGCATGGGTAGCTGCTGTCTGCAAATCACGTTCCAGGCGAAGAACATCACCGAGGGTAGGAAGATGTACGACCAGCTCAGCCCGCTTGGTCCCATCCTGCTTGCACTAACGGCGGCTACGCCTGTATACAAGGGCTTCCTCGCCAACACCGACGTGCGGTGGAACCAGATCAGCCGCGCCGTGGATTGTAGAACACCAGAGGAGCTGGGAGAGAAGGTGAGCACAAACTTTTTTGGTTCCCAAAACCTCCCCACGTCGCTATTAAGCAAACTGACATGGCCATGTAGCCACTCAAGAACGACCGCTGGCGCATCCCCAAGTCCAGGTACGCATCCAACTCGACTTACATCTCGACGGACCCGCGCCTGCGTCAAGAGTACCTCTACCCCAACCTCGTCATCGACGAAGACATCAAAGCCAAGCTTATGGACGGCGGCATGGACGACCGGCTCGCGACGCACTTTGCTCATCTCTTCATTCGTGATCCCATTGTCGTCTTCGAGGAAGACTTGCAGGAGCTTGATCTGTCCAAGACGGACCACTTTGAGAACCTGCAGTCCACCAACTGGCAGCACATGCGCTTCAAGCCGCCCCCAGCCGACAACAGCATCGGCTGGCGCGTGGAGTTCCGGCCCATGGAGATCCAGCTGACGGACTTTGAGAACGCCGCCTTTTCGGTGTTTATGGTTCTCGTCACCCGCGCCATCTTGTCCTTTGACCTCAACTTCTACATCCCCATCACCAAGGTTGACGAGAACATGGAGCGCGCACACGCCGTTGACGCGGTGCTCAAGGAAAAGTTCTTCTTCCGCAAAAACCCCTTTTCCAGCCGGCCCCGCCAGGGCGAAAACTCGCGTCCCGGATCGAGACCGGGATCGGCGGTGCCGAGTAGGCCGCCTACGCCGGTCCTCCCGGTCGAGGAGGAGTACGAGGAGATGACGGTGAACGACATCATCAACGGCAGCGCCGATGGAGAGTTCCCCGGTCTGATCCCGTTGGTGGAGAGCTACCTTGACGGCGTCAACGTAGATGTCCAGACGCGCTGCGAGCTCGACACGTATCTGCGCCTTGTCAGCCAGCGCGCAAGCGGCAAGCTCACGACGGCTGCCCGTTGGCTGCGCGACTTTATTGACGTTCACCCTGCATACAAGCACGATAGTGTCATTGGGGAGGAGATTCAGAAGGATATCGTCGCGGCGGTTATTGCTATCGGGGAACGGGAGACGGCTGGCAAGGGCTTCAGCGGGCTCGATATCTACGGTTTGCCACAGCTGCTTGGCAACTTCAGGCGAGGCTGTGGAAGCGCGTAGAAAAGGGGCTTGCCTTCGTCTGGGCGCTAGCGATGCAGAGGGAATGGGAGGTGTCGAACGAATATCAGATAAGACAGGCACGCAATGGGTGGGGGACCATATTGTATAGGCTTTGCCTCCGTCTCTCCGCTAGGAGATCATTTGCACGTAATGAACTCATAGAATACAAAAGATACTTTAAAAGACAGCATAGTTTGTTTGTATTTCTCAGAGGCACCAGCCCCTGGAACGAGTTGCCAAGGCGGCGTCGATCAGCGGCAGATGAGGCTTTCTCAAGGGAACGGCAGTTGGAGGATTCCCTCAGAATAGGTTTGGTCGCTCTCGGACGAGCTTCGTCTCGACATAGAGACCATAGCCTGACCTTTTGGATTTGACGTCTCTCTCCTCTGACGTGAAGACAAGACGGACTACACATCGACATCGAGCAATATGATGTCTTGGATGAATGCAAACCCTATGCGGCATTGCGCCGCCTTTCCTTGCGTGGTATTCCCAGAACAGATCAAGTTCACTTATGAAGCGTCAAAGGACAGCAGAGTGATCCCTTAGGAGGGACTGGCCAGTAGCCATGTTCATATTTGGGGGGAGAGGGGGGGCTATATGTGACCCAGCCCCGCGGAACTGGAGTTATACTCGACCTGAGTGCCACTTCACACGGAATGTGGGTTGGTCAACCAAGCAGAACAAGCCGCTTCACATCATGCGCCATTTTGCTAGAAGCTATCTAGAGCTTTCGCTGAGGCTGGCTGATTGGAGCGCATAGTAGTATTCCAATGAGCCGGAATCGGCCGTAAAATGGGGAGAGTGAACGAAATGAAGGTGGCGTACGTTGATGGAGTTTCCCAGTACCAGTTTCCAGGGAAGGGATGACCCGGAAAACTGGTACCTTACTCTACACTAAGACGAAGGGGTGTGTGTGAGTGCGGCGTGTAGGTTGTGTGGGGAGGCGTGGTGTACTGTGATGTGCCCTGTTAGCAGCCCGCAACGCTGGGATGGACAATGAAATCGACACGGGGTTCGTGCAATGCTTTCCCGCAAAAGGCGGGAGCCTAGGCGCTGCTAGGCTAGCTTGACCGAGGTGGCTGCTGGGCTACCACCAGGCCGTGTCTTAAATCTACTCACCGGTGGCACGCCATAGTACGTGCGATCCTGTGGCAGAGATAGTTGTACCGGCAGTTCGGTTGAGAAAGGGCGTATGTCCTGGTTCAGAAGAGAAAAGGTCAACTAAGGGGCGTTGATTGGCGCAAGACCGACTAGGAACCAGCCGTGGGCCACGAGCTGCTCGTTGTAGTGACAGCCAACCCTCACGGCAGATTGCTGTGATGTCGATATCACATTCCTCTCTATTAACCAAAGCCACGTTGCTACATGGTCATGCGGCTTCAACACTGGCGTGTTGAGCTCCGTATCGCCAAGGTGACGAGATCGAGCCATACCAAACCTGCCCTCTGAGACACTATATGCGCCCGGCTTCGCCTGCCTGTCCAGGGCATGATACATTCATCTGCAGCACGGCACGGAAGAAGCTGAGCTTGTCTGAGGATTTCGAGCAAAACTTTTCTGAAAGCGGAGCCAAGCCCAGAGCTGTCAACGGAACCCTTCACTGGGGAAGACTTATGCGACTTCGCATCTCAGCTTGGCTGTTTGAGCTCCGGCTGGGCGATGTGGTAGTAGTAGCGGGCTGCATCGTCTCACCCTTGAGCCCAAGGATAAAATGAAGAGGCGGACCTTCCCTAAGGCCACGACCCTAAGACATGGTGGACAATCTGGAAGGATTCCACTGATGCTCTCGGACCTCTAAGGCTGACATAGAGAGCCCCATCCCAAACAAATGGAGATGAAGGCTGAACGGCGATGCATGGAAGTTCAGACCAGAATATGAAAGCTGTCGCCATTCTCATCTCCCTACATTCCTAGGTCAATAGTATTGCCGCCAAACAGCGTGATGCGGCAAGAAGAAAACATGCTGTCACGATCGTTCCTCGGCTTTGGATGTGTTCAGCTTTTCGTCAGGAAAGGTCTTTGCTCTGGTATGTCGCGTGGGAGCCGTGTGGGTAGGCTGAAAGGGCTAGGTGGTTGGTTGGCAACCGCAAGCGGCTGTGATCGAGGCGAGGCGCCATGGTTCGATTGCTGGACCATAATGACGTAACGGGCTGGGCTAGACGTGCGATGACGGTTCGCACAAAGCAAGCTATTGGAAGGAAGATGAGCTAGTCTCCTGCGGGCAGGATTGGAGAGCAATTTGGGGCTTGGTCTAGCAACACGAGAAGATGTTGCCATTGTAGTCTGTACTGGGGTCCAAGTTGGACCCTTCGTCAGATCAACATATGGGTAGGTTTGGCAGATAGTGGGCATCTAACCATAAACGAACTGAACGGCCGTAGGTACTGTGTAAGATCGCAACGGGTCATCAACCAAAAGTTGAATGCGGCCATATCCTGTACGGCTATTGGCGCTCGGTACGAGCTCATTACACGCCCCAGGCAGTCAGATGTGACAAAGTAATTAAGAGATTGGCGAGCCGGTTAGGTGGTAGCGCGCAAGCTGGGTGCGAAACGGGGTTCAATGGACCCTACCCTTGTAGAGTGTAAGATCGTCTAATGAGATCCAACCAGATCTCGGCCCGGTGACCTCGTGGAATGTTGCGTAGACAAAACCGGAGCAAATCGGGGCTGGAGGGCAGACAAGGGACCTCGGTTGACAAGGCATGGCGAAGCGATGGACGAAGCTAAGGCGGATCGTACGATGCAATTCTGGGGAAACGCGACACTGACACCAAAGTAACAAGCGTGTGCTTCGAGTGCTTTGAGTATAGCTAGTAGGCGAAACCTGTGAGGTGGTCTCCAGGGGCCTTCCTGCAGCGTAGCATTCTTTTAGTCCTATGGGTTCGAGTCGAGTCAGCGTGTTTGAAGGGGTGAATATGGGGGGGGGGGGAGACGATTGGTATGGTCGATTTGGTCATGTACCCATACCAAAGAGGGAGCAACGCCGTACATTGTTGTCAACCAAGGGCATAGTAGCCGCCTGGTGGTGGAATAGAGCAAAAGCCTGGTTATGGCTGTTTCCACCCTAGCGAGATTCGCACCGGTTTTAATTTCTGTTTCCTTCATTTTACACTAATTTGTCTGCGATTCAAGGTACAAGGTGCCAATAAGCTGTGCGTGTTTTGTCCTCTCCTGTATAAATCATTTAGACGGCAAATAGGCTGGAGCCCAGATCCAGAGATCTGAGCAGCATAGCTTATCTGCTTTCAGGGCTTGGGATCCCACGTGGCTGGGAGAGGCACGGAGTTTTGGGCCAAAGCAAAGATCAACGGGCAACGGGCTTTGTCTTGGTCTTTGGCCGTGGTTAGACTAGCCTAGACGACGAAGTGATTTCCCAGACGGTACTGGCGGCAGATGGAGGAAGTAAAAGTGGCAGATTGGATGGGCTGTTTGGTTGGGTACAGAGCGACTAAAACGCCAGGTCTTAGTCCTTAGTGCCACTCTCTAAGTGCCATCATTCAGATCGGCTTTGCCAACCTGGTCGACCATGTCGCGTGTCTCGTGGGTGTCTCTGCAGAGGGTGCTCTGACGTGTCCGAGGTACAAAGACCTGGTGAGGACAGACAGCGGGGGGAAACAAGACGAAGGAGTACAAAGCATATATTACTGTGCATCATCCATCTTCAAGGTTCGAAGCACCGAATGTGTAATCCGAGACCGAGGAAGGAAGCGAGAAAGACAGCAGTCGGTCGGTCAGTGTAGTGTAGTAGTCGATGCATCTGCACAATGTAAACCCAAAGATCGGGGTCTCCTTCCCTTGGCGGCCCACCTGGGCGAGGGGCATCTCGCAGTCAGCGACAGAGCAACGAACATGCTTCTCGTGAGTCACCCTTGGCAAAGTACTTTGGGCTGACAATTGGGGGGGAGGGGTATGGTTTCTCCAGCTTTGCCTTCTCGTGTTGGCTGTGAAGACGAGGGCGGGGGAATGACAGTGATTGGTCGCGGAGCACTCTCACCGAGGTGGAGAAATGTGCCTAATCTTGCATGGCATCACTGGTTTGGTCGATACGTTTCAGCACTCGAACGACGGCCTTGACATTGGGGTCGAAAAGATGGTGATGCATCCGACCAGTCCGTATAGTGCATAGCACAGGCAGATTCTTCGTGAGACCTCGTTCCAGAACAACCTCCGTTTCAGACCCTGCCATTGAGGGAATTTTGGCCGCCCCTCCACTGCGACCCTGACTGAGTAGCGTGCTTTGGTGTAGGCAGGCTGACACCAACTGCCCTGCAGACAGGTGGCAAAACGGCAAGGCGATTAGCAAGTCGCTACACCAGGTCAGATTCAAGCAGGCGTGACGGGTCAGGTAGGCCCCTTGAGGGACGATGGGTGATGCGGAAAGTAAGGCATGAAAGCTCCAGTGCATGAGATAACGAAGTCCGCTAAGATTTTGGCAACGGACGGGAAGTCATAAATCACGCCACGCACGAGTCGTGGAGTGTGAATATGGGACGAACATTCTGTGGGAGGTGGTGGTGGTGGTAGTGGTGGAGGTATTGGTGGTGTAGTGAGATAGTGTGTAGATGGGGAGCAGAGAGTGTGATTGAGAATGGAGGGATGCCTGGCTTAGGAGGATCCACCCCCGTTGCTCCCGCCCAAAGTGAATCGCAATCAAATCGACGCAAATCTGCGATCGCATCCGGGGAGCCTCCGGGGTCCAGTGTGGACCAGCAGGCTCAATTAGGTAAGCTACTCCAAGCAAACCTAGATGGAGGTGGATACCTCAATCCCAAGGGTGGGCATGGCTGGCACCTCAGGCGCCCAAGTACCCCGGCGTACCACACGTGCAGGAGACACACCCCCTTTCGAGGTCATAGCTCCAAGTACATCAAGTATACGCTGTACCTTCCCAGTCCGCGAGTGTTGTGCCCCACCCATCCACCCAAAATAGCGCCGGGACATTTTCCTTTTGTTCCCCGATCGAGCTCTCATCCCTGATGATGATCTGATTTCAGA